GGTACAGAAATGGTTAACAGTTAAGCCAACAGATATTTAGTAATTTTCCTAATTTTTCGTTTACTTCATACAAGNTATAATATAAAATAAACCAACAATTTCATTAACCTTTCAATCTTTTTAAGTAAATAATAAAAACTAAGAACAATTTTAACAGAATTGCCTAGATCAAACGCTAAATAAATATTACTTAGGTCATTTAAAATTTAAAAGGGATATATTATATTTTTCTATTATTTCGGTTCAACGCTATATTTTATACAGTTCTATTATGTTTTAGTTATAACTGATTTCACTAAGGTCAAAATTTAACTTTTTTTTAACGCCCATTTAACATTTTCTGTGATTTAGATTTAAACAACATGTGTTAGGATCAATTGATTCTTTAAAAATATACAGGCTGTTAATTAAGTATGTACAATAACTTTAACAGACGACTATTTGAGTGATTTTTAGAAAAATAGTTCTTATAAACGTTGGTCCGCAGATGCTTCGTTTTCAAGATACAGGGTGTTAAACTTTTGTAAAAAAAATTCTTAAACAGCCTTTACCCTATTTTGTTTTAATTTGGCAGTGTTATTTATAGCGTTAAGGGGCTAATTTAACCCTAACTTGATTAGATTTGTAAAGTCCAGTGGCGTCGCGAGCGGTACCTTATCGAATATTTTTGATAATGTTTCTTGTGTGGTCCAGAGGGATATGCAATTAAGTGGATTTTATTTTTTTCTCCAAAAATTAACCAAGATACGAAAAACATTCAAGAGACAAAAAAGTTGTATTTTTAGTTGCTTAATCCAAAAAAATACAAAAATGTCAGTGGCGTACATTTTTTTTGTCAAAAATATTCGTTAAGGTACCGCTCGGAACGCCACTGGACTTAACAAATCTAATCAAGTTAGGGTTAAATTAGCACCTTAACACTACAAATAACACTGCCAAATTACAACAAAATTGGGTAAAGGGTATTTAAGATGTTTACGAAATAGCAATTTTTTTTGCAAAACTTTCACACCCTGTTTCTTGAAAACGAAGCATCTGCGGACCAATGTTTATATGAACTTATTGTCTTAAAATCACACAAGTAATTGTCTGTTGAATTTATTGTACATACTTAATTAACACCCTGTATAGTAAACCTATTGACCAAATAACTTCTCCATTTTAGATAAAAGGTTACATATTCAAAAAAATCATTTTTAAATAGCCACGAAAAGCAAAATTTACGCCTGCTTGAGATGTAATTTGTCTGATGATTTGTCTGTATGCGAAAAAAATAGTTTTTCCAAGCATTAGAAATGAAAAGATAAAATATAAAACTTTAGCCTTGATAAAATAAATTTTTGTCTATAATAGCGCAGAAGTATTTAACATGAAATTTTGAGTTGAAATAACCAAAAGTCTTATTTAAATTACGAAAATTAAGATCACTTTCGGTAATAGAAAAATGACAGCCTATGAAAATAGTCGATTTGTTGACATCTTATTCAAGTCATATCTAACGACATCAGTAGCATTGATCAGAACCGAACTGTTAGTCCAGTCGGCAGAGGCCGAAAAGTTACTGTTGGTGACATTTTCTTGATCACTCGGAAATAACTACACAGGAATACTTTAAATGATGAGTACAATAACAGGCTAATTTGCTGACAAAGTATTTTATCAGGAAAAAAAGTTATTAACAATTTAATCGTGAAAAATTTTTTTTAGTAGTTTTCTTTAAATAATTCAGCGGGATGACTTTGTACGAAAAAATGCTTAGGACAGGATTTTGTTCGTAATAAAAATAGCTACAAAATGGCGGTGGTCCGATTACGAAATTTGCAATAACAAAGCCGTGAGATTGAAAAAACTGTATAAAACGTCAATTTTTTAAAGTTGCTGTAAAAATGTCAATTATAAACAAAAAATGATAAAACTTTCGAAAACTATAGTTCAATATATATGCAATAATGACGCTAAAGCCGAAAATCAGGAGAGCAAAACTTTTTGTTCTCTAAGGTTTTATACATCCATCGGCATCTGAAACTCGAAACTTTGACTAATTTGTTCGAAGCTTTGCTGACACTTGAAATTTGGTATACACATAGTGTAAATATGCAGAAACCAAAAGCAATTTGCAAAATTCTTCAAAATCTTCAATTTTGCAGCTTTGGTAGGGTTTTATACGTAACCCTAGTTTTATACGTCACAGTTTTTTTTAATTTTTAGAAAATCATGTACATGTATATTTATAAAATATTCTATCACGGTGGATTAACCAGCACAATTACCTACAATTAAGTAAAAAAAAAAATAATTTTCATCGTTTAGATCCTAAGCTACTTAACATTTTGCGCCTGTTAGCTCTTCGGCGCTTGTATACTATTAGAAATATGCAACAGTAAATTTAAACAATTGTTTACTTAAAGTTAAATGTTTACCCCACACGTAGGTACGTTTTTGTTTTATGTTGATATGTTGAATAATGTACGAGTATGGCTAACAGGCACAAAATGTTACGTAGCTTAGGATCTAAACGATGAAAATATTTTAAATTTAGTTTTTAGTTAATTTTAGTTTTTAAATTTTAGGTAATTGTGCTGGCTAATCTATCGTGATGGAATATTTTATAAATATGCATAAATATACGTCCAAAAATTTAAAAAATGATGACGTATAAAACCTTACCAAAACAGCAAAAATGAAGATACTTGAATTTTGCAAATTGCTTTTGGTTTCTGCATATTTACACTATGTGTGTGCCAAATTTCAAGTGTCAGCAAAGCTTCGAACAAATTTGGCAAAGTTTCGAGTTTCAGATGCCGATGAATGTATAAAATGTATAAAATAAAATAAAATAAAATAAAAAAGAGCCCATAAGTTAAAATTTCTTCTTCGTGGCAAATCTTCTACTTTAAGTTCCTGGGCCTTTTGAAAGTGAAAAGGTTTCAACAGTTGTCGTTTGATAAAGCGGTGTATTCTTGTTCTGGGAATATCAAGTTGAGATGACGCGCGTCTTATGCTTATTTCGGGATTTTCTTCAATTAAATTTAAGATAATTTCTTCCAGTTCGGGAGTTAATAAATAACTTCTCCCTGAATTAGGTTTTTTCACAACTTCGGATCCTGTCTCTATTGGCTGCCGATGTACTCGTGCAAACATTGAATGGTATGAAATTGAAAAATATGAATGCGTGCAGGAAATCGCTCGGCGTACAATCTGCATGCGAGACGTGAATTTCCACGAGCCTCCCCGTAAATTAGGTGCATTTGTACCCTTTCTTGGACAGAAAATCTCACCATTCTTTCATGAACAATGATTACTGACAACTAATGGTAACACTTTGACACTGGTTAATTACACCTGTCACAGAATAAAATTGATTGTTTATTGCGAATGCCAGCCACCTACGATTAACACTTTAAAATTTCATATGAACCTCGATATGCATCCAATCAAATTTAGCCATTTTTTCGAAAAACGCTGCTTTTTTCGAAAAAAATTTAAGAGACAAAAAAGTTTTTAAATTCCCTGGGGTTTCTAAGGGGCTACTAATTTTTAAAAAAATTAAATATGCAACTAAAGTTTGGTGAGCCCAAAACCAAGGGGGCCCTCGAAAAAGTGTCTTGTGGGGGCCCCTTGCCAAAAAGCTTATCAGCATCGCATTCTACATGTCATAAAATCCCTGTGTACCAAATTTGGTGGTTCTTGTGCGATAGAGCTCTGAGATATAAAAAAAATTAAATTTTCAGGGGCTTGTTTCAGGGGGCTATATCTCCGAAAGGGGCCGAACTTATCAAAAATAAAAAATACGGGTCCCTTAAATTTCTCTTAAGAATTTCTGACCAAATTTTGTTGCATTTATTTCGGGACACCCTGTAGAACAACAAGTTTTGCTCTCCTAATTTTCGGCTTTAGCGTCATTATTGTATATATATTGAACTATAGTTTTCGAAAGTTTTATCACTTTTTGTTTATAATTGACATTTTTACAGCAACTTTAAAAAATTGACGTTTTATACCGTTTTTTCAAGCTCACGGCCTTGTTATTGCAAATTTCGTAATCGGACCACCGCCATTTTGTAGCTATTTTTATTACGAACAAAATCATGTCCTAAGCATTTTTTCGTACAGAGTCATCCCGCTGAGTTATTTAAAGAAAACTACTAAAAAAAAATTTTTTTCATGATTAAATTGTTAATAACTTTTTTTCCTGATAAAATACTTTGTCAGCAAATTAGCCTGTTATTGTACTCATCATTTAAAGTATTCCTGTGTAGTTATTTCCGGGTTATCAAGGTTTGACACAGGCCGAAAATCTACCAACTGGACTATGTAGAGATGGTCCAGATCTCGCAGTGTGCAAAATTTTTTGACATTAAATTTATACATATAAAATTTACTTTCATTAATGTCAATTACAAAATAATTCTTTTTTTCCAGTTACTTATTGTATATTTGGATGCATACTTACGTTTTTGTATAAACAGGAGTCCGCAAATAGATGGTTTTCAAGATAGTGCTAAAATGAATTAAATTTAACATTTTCTAAAATATTTTTAAAGACGTTCGATGTAGTATGATGAAATATGTGTTAATGATTTATTTAATGAAATAAAGAAAAAAGTCCACTGAATTCGAATATAAATACGTATAACATTGTCGCAGATACCGGAAGTCATTTTTAATAAAAACAACAAAAATTCAAGGACACTAGACTTTTGAAAATTCAAGCACTGCCCGTAACTTTTAGTAGTATAATACAGTCATGAAAAACCTGAAAAAATGATCGGTGTATTCCGAATTCAGTAAATTTATATCTGTAATTAAATAAATAATTTAATTAATAAAATTTATCATTCTACGTGAAACGCTTCCAGAATTTATAAAATGTGGAATTCTTTCTCAACATCCTATATTTCGTAATATATCAATTTGCTGATCCATGTTCTTGATTTTGATTTAAAATCAGTCAAGAAAAATTCGTCAGTGTAGTCAATCAGTTGCCTGTATTTTTACAGTGAAACCAGATATACACAGGGCTTCTGTGCAGAACATAATCAATTCAGTCGTTGAGGCATTACTGGAAAACTCTAACAGAAGGTAGGTAATATTAAATATTAATTAATAAGTATGAAATCGATAACTGCATAAAATTCACATTGATTATTTAACTTCTCAAAAAAAATATATTTATTACGCAAATATGTAGGATTAAAAAAATACAAAATAAAGTAATAGATGTTCTGTTCAGCGATCACTTTTAGTATTAAAATAGTTTTAATGGATAGGTAATTAACTTTTGTAATAATATCCATTACGTGTATCTCCTGTAATTAATTAGTCATTATTATAAATAACTTTTACTGAAAGTGCTACTCCCAAAGCGTTCATCTCTAAAATTACACATTTGTGTTACTAATTCAGTTATAGTTCCATTTACAAAAAATGAGGAACTCAGATACAGTTCCATTTATATAAAATGATAAATAAAAAAATGCGAATATATACCGGGTGATTCAGTTTGGTATTGGCGTATCTGTTTTATTTTAACAAATAGCTGTATTTGTAAATCGTTGTTCAAATTTTATCAAATGACATTATTAGATCGCTTTGGTATGTCAAAATTGCTATAGTCAACTGTTTTTGTTGAAATGGCACTCTATATATTTTTTTATCAATTCTTGAAAATATTTTTTTCTACGTTCAGCTATAGGTATAAAGAAATCTATAGTTTCATTAGAAATATTGCTAGAAAAAAACAGCAAAAAAGATGAACCCTACTTTCAGTAGCTTTATTCTGAAAAGTGATAGCCAGCTAAGGAAACAACTGAATTTTGACGTTTCTAAATAACGGTTTGTCAAAATAATTGACATTTTGTACCTACTTATTTTATCTATAACTAATTATAAGATGAATACTTAGAGTAACCAAGAAAAACTAAATATGATTTTAAATTATGGAGAGTGCAGAAAGAACGCTAAAGCTGCCAGGCGTTTATACCAACATCGTTTTCCATCAGATAAAATTCTCGGAAAGTCAGCCAGGAATTTGGCGGCAGTTGAAAGTTTTCAAAAGAAAAGAAGTTTTTAAACCCAGAAAGGCAAAAGATGAAGAACATTCGATAGCAATTTTACGACGTATTTTTATAGATCCAAATATTTCGATTCGTGATCTGAAGATGGAAACTGATATTTCGTATTCTTCAATCCAGAGAATTCTTAAAACAATAAGCTACGGCCTTATACAATGCATTTGCAATCAGGCTTAATTCCACAGGATTACGGGAGCGCCTGCACTTTATAGCATGGTTGCTCAAGAAATAAATATCTTGCAACTTATAATGTTGTTATAATTGCCATTATTGGTCCCAAAATAATCCCCATTGGCTTAGAGAAACCTATTTCCAAAATGTTTAGGGAATTAATATACAAGGTGATTTAGTTCGAGTGAATCAAGGTTTAATCACAGATAGAACTCAATAAATAATTCAGAATTGCTTTATAGAGCAAGGGTCTAAGTTTCACCGTTTTCACTGCACATCATATTATTTACTAAATCTTTGGTATGCTTATAACAAATTGATTCAAATTTAGTGTGGTTTTAACATTTGCACATGTGCATAATTTACTGTAAAATTTACAAATTTTTATAAGTCAGTGGCGTAGGAATGTTTTTACCCCAACTTCTACGCCATTGACTTAATAATCATTTGGAATTCATTCTTAGATTCCGTGGACAATTCTACATAAAAAAAGTTATACTTGTTGAAAATCCGTATAGTGTACTTATCGTTTTACCGAAAATCTCAGTTAATAATCCCACACCCTGTATACTGTGAGATTATTAACCGACAAATTGTAGGACCCAAGTTCTATAATAGAACACTTACAGGACAAATAAATCTAAATTTTTTAAACGAAGACTTAGCCAACTACATGGAAGATGTTCCATTGCATATTAAGTGCAATGTGATTTTACGGCAAAATAGAGCACCACCTCACAATGCCAGAATTGTTAGAGAGTACTTGAACACAACGTATTCATGTAGACGGAGAGGCAATCTTAACGAAGATGTTAATTGGCCAGCTAGATCTCCGGATCTCAGTCCTATAGATTTCTTTCTTTGGTCTTACCTAAAAGATAAAGTTTACTCTTCGCCTTTAAATGACCTTAAAAACAGAATAAGAAAAGAATATCGGAGATTAAATGAAGAAACAATAGGACGTGTTTGTAGAGAGGACGTGATAAACAGATCTATTCTGTGTTTGGAAGCGAATGGAGACCATTTTGAACATTTGAAATAAGTATTGCTTTAAATTGCTATATTACACAGCCACACACAAAAAAAGTTGTAAGTTGTCTGTACTTTTCATGCGACATATATTATCCGTAGTATTTTTGCCTCCTGATCACGAATCCGATGTCAGAATTGATCTATCACATCACAGGAATTTCCTAACCTCAAAAAACAGGTAAAAATATAACAAAAGTTCACGAAATAGTGCTAGGAAAAAAAAATTTTTTTCTATATTCAGATGTTCATTTATATGGTTAAGATCCCGCCGAACGTGAATCCGCGGTAAAAATCATGGTTCTTTTTCTAACCTCAAAAAAACAGGTCAATTAAGGTCAGATATCACGAATTGTCAAAGATTAGATAACAGATTAGCGCCAAATTTGGTGTACGGGGGTTTTCGGGGTCGCTGATCACGGATCCGAGGTCAGTTTTGTAAAATTCAAGATGGCGGATACAACATGACTAACCAAATTTTGAAAAAATAACCCATTCGCGCTAAATTTGATATACGGGGATTTTCTGGGTTGCTGATCACGGATCCGAGGTCAATTTTGCAAAATTCAAGATGGCGGATCAAAGATGGCCGAACAAATTTTCAAAAAATAACACATTAGCCTCAAATTTGGTATACGGGGATTTCCGGGGTCGCTGATTACGAATTCGAGGTCAGAATTGTGAAATTCATTCTGTAATATTTTTGTTTACTTTATAATCTGAGTATCCAATAATATTTTAACCTTCTTAAAGTAGGTACATAGGTAATTGATTAAATTTATAAAAACGAATTTTGCACATCTGATCTCGGATTCGTAATCAGTGACACCGAAAACCCCCATATACCAAATTTGGCGCTAATCTGTTATTTTTTGAAAATTCGTGATAGCTGACCTTAATTCATCCGTTTTTTAGGTTAGAAAAAGAACCATCAATTCTGACTGCGAATTCATGTTCGGCGGAGTTTTAACTGTATACTTAAATGAACATTTGAATATAGAAAAAAATACTACGGATAACATATGTCTCATATGGTATTATCATGTTAAAAATAAAATATGTTACTTGTTTCCTCAGCTGGCTACAATTTCTCAGAATAAAGCTACTGCAAGTAGGGTTCATCTTTTTTGCTTTCCTTATATAACTGAAAACAAAAAAAATATATTCCAGAATTGATAAAAAATTTACAATGTGCCATTTGAAGAAAAACAATTTACTATAGCAATTTTGACATATGCTACCATGAAGACGATCTAATAATGTCATTTGATAGAGTTTGAGCAGCGATTTAAAGATATATGTATAGGGTTTGTTATAGCTTTTTGTTAAAATAAAAGAGATACGGGGCCACGAATACCAAATTGAATCATCCGGTATTTTTAAAGAACAAGTGTTTTTGGCACAATTATATTTTTTCCGAAATTTCCGGGTATTATTTGATTAAAATCTATATGATTTGTTACAGTGTTCTAAGATTTTTTTTTAGAAGTCATCTAGAAAAAAAGGCAATATAATTAGCAAAAATCTTTTGTATTGATTTGCAATATTTTTATTTCAGCTAAGTCTAAAAAAGTGTTTATATCACCCTGTAACAAATTATGAGATATTAGCTTAAATAATATTGGGTAACTTTAAACAAATTGTAATATGCCAATGACATGTTTATTCTTTAAAAATATATTATAGATCTCTAAAAACCTATTTTTAATTATTTGAAAAACATTGTACACGGTGTCGTGGTACAAAATACTAATCATATTTTTAAGTCTCAATCACCTTGGGTAAACATTTTTTAAATTTCTTTTCTAAATAAAAATTAATGGTTTTGCACCAAAAATATAGCTACAGCGGGTCAAGGTTTTAGGTTTTGAAAGAATGATATATGCCTCCGATGCACTTTTAGGAGATGTATCTAAAAAAAGTTTGTTAAAATTGATCAAAAAATAAAATGCTACGGGGATGACCAGTCCCCAAGCAGATTCTGTATAGAATCAGTGCTATGATATATCACATACTATTGATGATGTTTTTTTTTTCAAGTAAAAGATAATATGTTATAATTTTAAAACTTATTAAAAATTGATTACAATTAAATCATAAAGCACCTCATGAATCTAAAATTATAATAATCATTATGTCTTCTGATCTGATTTAAATTTAACATTTAATTCGGTATTGCACAAACCTCACACTAGCAACTATCGATTATATATTTGATATTACATTATAACATTCTATCAGCTAGAGCAGTAATGTTTATCTGCAGCGAACTGCACATTCGCTGTCCAATAAAACGCTTTGCATACTGGAACATAGAAATTCTTAACAGCATTCTTCTACTTCACTTACTACATAAAATCTTAAGAAATTATTTGCAGACGAGCTAAATTATTTAGACCATTTGATTTCTGCTCCATAATACAATAAATGTTGAATTACTATGTGCACATATACCGTTCTAAAACATTTTTGTGCGCCCAAATATATCGAAGATTTGCCAACGACTTGCTTTTATTTAATATGTAGTTAAATTGCGCGAATACCGAATATCCGTACACGAACAACACAAGCGTGGAGCCGGAATTCATTGTTCTGATCTGTTGAACCCATCTGTTCTGACTTATGTATTTTATCGAAATATGGAAAATACCAGTACGAATATTCAGGGATGTTCCGTTTAAAAAATATAGTTGAGGTGTTTTTTTAAGGGCAAAAGTTATTATAACTTCTTGAATATCCATTTTGCGTCATAACTGCTTTATAACTTTTATCATTGAGGATGTCCTACTTCATATGTAATATAATACGAATAGTACAAAAAAAATGTGTCTCAAGTCTCAAGTAAAAGTCACTCCGAATCAATTTCTTCAGTCATTTTAAAATTATAGTCGATTCTACCGGGTGTCCCGAAATTAATGCAACACAATTTTGTCACAGATTGTTAAGACAAATTTAGGGGACCCGTATTTTTTATTTTTGCCAAGTTGCCCCTCTTTCGAAGTTACAGCCCCCAGAAATCCGCACCTAAAAATAGGGTTTTTTTATATATCAGAACCTTTTGCACAAGAATCACTAAATTTGGGGTTCTATGACATGTAGGATCTGATAGTGCTACGCTTTTCTGCTGGGAAACCCCTTAAGACACTTCTTCGTGAGACCCGTCCCCTTATCTGGAGCCAAAAAAATTTAGTCGCATATTTGAATTTTTTAAAAATTAGTAGTCCGCTAGAAAGCCATTGAATTTAGAAACTTTTTTGTCTCTACTTATATGTTTTTTTTTCGTAAAACGCAATGTTTTTGAGAAAAATGGCAAAATGTGATCGAATGCATATCGTGATTATTATGAAATTCTGCGTGTTAATTGTAGGTGGTTGGTGTTATCTAATTTAATTTTTCAAATAACATTTACATTTTTAAATTTTCGTTGAATCTAAGATCTACTTTAAAAAATTAACATTTGTAGCATTATGGAAAATATCTATTAAAGTCAATTTACGATATGTTTGTAATAATATTGAACGATATTGAAGAACATTAATTTTTGATAGAGTATCCGGTTTATTAAAACTATGCCCTAAAACCACATATTATTAAGTCCATTTAAATAATTTAGGAAAAAGTAAAAGAAATAATTTTGATTTAAAATTGTGCAGTGTGATTATTGCAGTTAATATTTTCTAGAGTTCTCAAAATATTCTTATTCACGCGTAAGAATCAATAGTAGATATACAGTATACATAGAGTTTTTTCAAAAAAGATTAAAGTTTTAATAATGGTTTATGCATAAAATATTCAAATGCTGAAATGTCCCATTTGGTTTACAATTATGACTATGACTATGGCTATGCAAATTTATATGGAAAGATTTACAAATCATCCAACTCCGAATCCAAGATAGTTCAGAAATGTTTTTCAACGTTTTTCGGAGTCAGGCTCATATCAGAAAGCTCCAATTCCTGGAATACCTTTGAGTGTTACAACGCGTGAGTTGGAAGAAGCTATTCTACACGAAATTGAAGAAAACCCAAATACTAATATTAGAAAGATCGCTGCAAATTTTAATGTAAATCATAAATTAGTTTGGTCCATTCTGAATCATCAACAATTATATCCGTATCACATACAAAGAGTTCAAGCCTTACTGCTGTAAATCTATCCTGCTCGCCTACAATTTTGCCACTGGATTTTGCAAAAAAATTGAACAAAATGTTGACTTTACCGTTGGTATATTGTTTACCGACGAAGCAAATTTTTCCAGAGCCTATAATGAACTTCCACAATAAACACGTTTGGACTGATGAAAACCCTCATGCCATAGTAGAATCTCTTCTGTATCTTACCCTGTATATTATCCTGCATTTAATAGTAATTTTTAGCTAATCCGTAAAGTATTCGATCCCTATTTATATCTGTAAACTACCCATAGACATAACAGTCATCATATGCGCCATTGTATTATCTTTACTTTTTATTTCTTTACCCTTTCTTGTATTCCAAACCGATAAACAACAAAATTGATTTATGTATTTGCTCAAGTATATTTTTACGATACTTATCGTTAGATTACTTAAAATAATATCAATGGAATTACTTTATCATGATTTATTATAACAAATGTTGGAAATGGCCACCTCCATCCAAATACATGCTCCAGATCTTCTTGAAATTACAGCTCGAACACGTGCAAAAATTCCATTATAATTATAATTTGTAGACGTAACTGCTCCTCAGATTCAAGGTGAACCTTGCAAACTAATGTCCTGAGATGTCTCCAAACAAAAAAATCAATAGGGTTCATGTCGGGTGATCTGGGTGGACAACGTTGAAATGGTTCTTGAGTATATCGTCCAAACACGTCATTACCGAATCTTTCATTTAGAAATCCACGAGCAGTCAAACTATACCGTGTGGGAGCCCAGTCGTGCATAAACCACATTCTTCCTCTTGGCGCATAGGGGACATCGTCAAGTAGTTCAGGCAAAACGTTTTCAAGAAAATGTTTGTAACCGGTTACAGCACCTGGTAAAAGTAAGATCCAACAAGAAAATTTCCAATAATATCTACCCACCCATAAATTCACAGAAAACTGATGTTGAAATCGAGATTCCATTGTGGCATGAGGATTTTCATCAGACCAAACGTGTTTATTCTGGAAGTTCATTATAGCATCTCCGGGAAAATTAGCTTCGTCAGTAAACAATTTGCCAGCGATTCACATTTTGTTAAATTTTTTACAAAATCCAGTGGCGAATTTTATGTGAGCAGGATAGTATTGCGGCAATAAGGCTTGAACCCTTTGTATGTCATACGAGTATGATGCTTCAGAACGAACCAAACTAATTTCTGATTCACTTTAAGATTTGCAGCAATCTTCCAAATACTAGTATTTAGGTTTTCTTCAATTTCGTGTGGAATAGCTTCTTCCAACCCAGGCATTCTAACACTCAAAGGTCTTCCAGGAATTGGACTTTTTTTAAATGAACCTGACTCCGAAAGACGTTGAAAAACATTTCTAAACATTCTTTGATTTGGAGTTGAATGGTTTGGAAATTTTTTCATATAAATTCGCCTAGCCTCAGTAACATTTCCATCTGCAAGGCCATAAATGTAAACCATATTGACCATTTGAATATGCAAAAGCCATTATTAAAACTTTAATCTTTTTAAAAAATAAGCTTAATTTGACAATATAGGCGAGGAAATAAAGCACTAAAAACGGCCTTACCTCTGAAATCTGTGCAGTAAGATGGATTGTGATGCGATATTTTTTTAAAAACATGTATTTTTTGTAATGAATAAATGTATTTTTATAATAAAAAATAATTAAGAATAAAATAGTTGTCACACAAACTAGCCATCCTGGGTACTAGGTACCTCGGAGACCGTTGCTGTCGTGATATTCGTGTTGATCGACCCCAAAAACCCCAAGGTAACGAGTTTCGACTAAGTTTATAACGAATTTCCACAAAACTCCAGGAGACGTCGTGGAAACCAGCCACCCTGGGCACTAGGTACCTCGGAGACCGTTGCCGTGGTGATATTCGTGTTCAGCGACCCCAAAAACCCCCGAGTAGCAAAATTTAACTAATTTCCGTCAATATTTTTCGAGTTATAAATTTTTCATATTTTAACTCTTCGAGATGCAATTTTAAAAATGCATTTTTCTTTTGCACCGATGCAATTTTCATTTCTCATTGATCACATAGGGTCACAAACTTTCTGGACCCTCTAAAGAATCGAATGCAAAAAACCGCATCACGATCCATCTTACTGCACAGATTTCAGAGGTTCAGTGCTTTATTTTCTCGACTAATACACAATATTAAATAAGATGACGGCTTCTTATTATTATTGTTTTGCTAAGATATGTTTAAATAATTTAAGTAACTGTGTAAAAATGCACTTGATCAAATAAATCAATTTTGTTGTTAATCGGTTTGGAATTATATAAAAAAAGTGTAAAGAAACAAATACAGAATACGCCCCTGAATTTTTTACCTCTACTTAAGAAACACTGTATACACAATACACAACAAAGTGTTTACACAAGTCAACAAAATAAAATAAACAATCTGGATAGAGAATAAACAGAAAAGTCATGTGGAAGAGGATCATTAATAGGAACATATACAAGAGAAAACTGACAGTATGAAAATTTTATATAACTTTAAATTACTACCACTAACACAAAGAATTAAAAATTATTAAAAACATACTTTGTTTTCAGTTAAAATACTGAGACAGTTGACAGATAAATAGCTGTATTCAGTTCGTAGATTCATTGAACTTAACCGAACTTAAGTTAAAATCACTGCACATTTCAGATACATATCTTCTGCCTTACAAATATCTTATTTTTTAAAACACAAAAATGTAATCTACGTTGTTGGGTTTTCATTTTCGTACTTCCATTCTAGGTTCGTTCAAGTCGAAACGGCATTTTTCTGGAAATGGTGGACCACTCAAAATGATGATATGAAATTAAAATTCAAATATTTGGTCGACAATGGACAAATAGAAATGGTAAATGGAGCATGGTCAATGAATGACGAAGCTTGTACCAATTATCAATCTACAATTGACCAGTTTACTTGGGGATTACGGTAATATCAAAAATATTACAATAGTAAAAATAGAACAAAACAGAAGAGAAGTTAACCGTGTTTGTACATAAAATGATGATGATTACTACGCCCTAAAAATCTCTAACTACTGTTATAACATTTTTACTTCTATCTTTGTAGCCATATTTTTAGTCGCTAATATTTAGGCTTGAACTAAAGTCAATTATTAGGTTGCCTTTAGTGGAAAAAAATGATAGAAAAAATTTACCTATTCACCGTAAGAAACTGCACTCTTATCATAGTAAAGCATCGACATAAAGTAATAATAATTTTTATTAAACCTGGCATATGATATTCTAACACTAATAAGAAAATATCTTGGCAAAACTCTCTTATTCGTCGATTTTCCTCAGTGTATGCATAGCATTACGCTGTTGTCTTTAAACTGATGATTTTTTCAGTACTATCAACGATACCATTGGTCTTTGTGGTATTCCCAGAATAGGATGGCAAATAGACCCTTTCGGACACAGCAGAGAACAAGCTTCAATTTTTGCGCAGTTGGGATATGACGGAGTATTCTTTTCAAGACTGGATCATGCTGATAGAGAGAAAAGAAATTCGGAAGGCAATCTGAATTTTGCCTGGCAAGGAAGTGCAAATTTAGGTATTATTAATTATTTTCAATGTTATAAGTAGGACTGTCAAAGAGAGCCGCAATACAATGGCGTGCGAAGCGGGTCATGCCGCTTGGCACTACCACTACCTACTATGCCGCTACCAAGACATGCGTGAGTTGCTGCCTCAGTATGCTTTTCACGTTCACGTCACGTTAGTATACTGTTGCCTTTGTTATCGTGCGGATGTTGCAATTTAAGTTGTGCTTTTTAATAAATAATGCGTACGCCTATGTCCAGCAGCTCAGTTCTGACAGCCCTAGTTATAAGTTATAATTACACACAAAAAAGTGGTAGATCCGAAAGACACGACCATGGTATCTATACGATTTTTGGAGTCGCTGAATCCGAATCCGGTGTCGGTTTCACCAGATTAGCTCTGGATTCAGGTGAGTTCAAGGTCAAATGTAGAGAATCAATTGCCAATAAAGTAAACCAATATATCTATATGTTTTTGGGGTCATTGAATCCAAATCCGGAGTCCTTTGGGCCGATCAAGTCTGCTAAATACTCTCAAGTTCTAAATTCAATACACTCAAGTTAAGCCTTTATGCGTATTAAAATTTGAGTAACAAATAAGATTAAAGAAAACTTTCCTGACAGCAGCTTTCTGGAGTAGAAACACTTTAACTGAATATGTTGAATTTCCCCATAAGAGGATATGACTGTGTATAATACTAAAATAAACAGTTCGAATTACACCTCATGGCAGACATGAAGCTAGTTGGCCTAGAGCAAATATATTAGATGAAACTCTAGAACAAAGAGCAGCAATGTGGTGACTCCAAGTAAGGCTAGTGTCAAAGACAACACCGAGCAACTTGACTGGATCGGACTGAGTGGCCCATTTATCTGAACTGAAAAGCAGTTTCTGAGTTTTGGATTGATTTAATTTTAAATTGTTGGCAGAAAACCAGTTGTTAGCAATTCTGATGTCACTCACTCCGAAACCACCTCTAGTTAATAGAGTCGTGTCATCTACATATAAAGTACAAGAACTATTGTCTATAGAATTAATCGTTAATGTATAAGAGGAAAAGGACCGGACCCAAAACAGATCCTTGAGGAACTTTTGAATAGGCAAAATACTAGACTCAAAACCCTGATAAAGAAACTTATTGTTTCCTGTTATTAAGATACGAGGAAAATAGCTTCAATTCATTAGCTCTAATTCCATAAAACTCAAGTTGAATCAATATATTTGTACGAACGCAGTAGAAGGCCTTAGTGAGATCACACATAATTGCATTTGTGTGCACACCTTCATCAAGACCCTCAACAACGTCCTCAATTAAATTTAGAAGGGCTTTGACCGTTGATTTGTTCTTCCTAAAACAAAATTGACAATTTGAAAACAGAGAATACTTCTCACAGTAACTGACCAGTTTGTCTCTAATCAACATCTCGAAGATTTTACCCAAAATAGGTATAATTGAAATGGGTCGAAAATTAACAAGGCAGTTATCATCACCCTTTTTATGCACAGGTGTGATTTTTAATGGGTCAGGCCAATTTCCCTCCTCTAAACACTTATTGAATAGACATGTCAATGGGTCAATCAACGAGTCCAGAGATGCTTTAATCATGTATTCAACCCGTAGTAGTCTAAGGAGGAGGAGTGCCAATATAACTTCCCTTACATCAGATTTGAGAATACCTGATATAAAAAAGATTTCATAGTCTTCGACGTCCAAGTTAGTATTGTCAATTGTCAGACTGATACTCTCACAGACATCTGAAAAGAACAAATTAAAGTCATCTGGTGCAAGAGAAGTAGAAACATGATCACAACCAGGCTTAGTTTCATAATTAACTATTTTCCAGATTGACTTATTTTTGCAACTGGACCCTAATATTTCATTTGTATATGCAGCACGCTTCTCCTCCCTTAGAGCACGCCTATACTCAATGCGAATTTTTACGTAAACATCCCAATCACAGTCAAGTTTTGTAATATAATAATATTTGTAATATTAATAAGCCTAATTAAGTAACCTTTGAACCAATGTTAATGTTAATGCTTCATTTACATTAATTTACACAGTCAGAGCGTATCGAATGAGATTCTTGAGCAGAGTTTATAAAGATAAAAGTTTATTTGCCTTGATGAATTATATGAAATCATTATTATATCCCACCATGTTGGTATTAAGACTAATACTCGCTTTTAAGGTATTCTATTTTAATGGTAGGTAAATCTCGTTTTAACGACCAGCAGCAATCGGCTAACATGTTTATGTCCCACCTGCCTTGGTACCGACGCCGACGCATCGTTCCATATCCTTAATATCTTGATGAAATCTTTCTCCATTATCCTCAAACCCAATCAAATTCCTCACCTTGAATTTTAAAGTTATGGAACGTAAGGATTCTTTTTAGCAAAAATTTTGGTTCATATTTTTTTCTATAATTTTAATTAGAGGAATCAGTTTACATTAAGTGTAACTATCTAGGTATGTTGTTTCAAGACTGGTAACCTAAATATATAGTTTTACTATTTATGTATATTGATTTCGTATTTGAGTAGAACTGATTGTAAATATAGGCATTATTATTTTATAATTCCGAATCAATCAAGAAATGCTATTTCAATGATTTTCTTGAACTATAATAAGTACATTGTATTATTTGTATTTATAATTCTGCTTCATAAGACTCAATGGGGTAAAAATTCTTGAATTAGTAATAATTTCTTCTCCCGTACATTTGAATAAAAGTGGCATTACTGCAATTCTTTATTCTCCCATAACCATAGACCTTTATGATATTTTCTTCTACCTAAAACGGTCCAGGAAATAATCATTTGAAAATATTATAAATAATAAATAACATAATAAAAAAATGCATTTTTATATTCATCTACAGACTAGAATATATAAAACATTGATAGTGAGCCTACACAAACTAGCCATTAATCAATTATCGGATTTTAGATGACAGTGTAATATTTGGTGGGATCTTTCCATTTGATGGATATTCCGCTCCTCCGGGATTTTGCTGGGATTACAAGTGTAACGATGATCCAGTATATGCCGATACAGAAAGTCCAGAATACAATATAGACAAGCTTGTAAGTCAAGTACAGTGAAAAATCGTTTATAAATAGTCAACAAAAAGGTATGGTTAATGGATGGTATTAATCGTAAGAAATTACCGAATTGTGACTGATATTTTGAAACCTTTTTATTTGAATGAGTATTTCCGCCAAAGTGGAAATATTTTTTTGTAAAGTTTTAGATTACTAGAACTATATTTATTACACCTACTATAAGGCTATGGATTCAAAAGAAGTGGACACAGTAAAACGGCAAGGATAAGCACTGTCCTGTCTGCATAGGAAGTCTCTACTCGTATAATAATGTGTAATTAACAAAAAAACATTTCCAATAAAAAATCCGCGAAGCCTTGGTATTTGAAATAAATGTAAAATAAACTATTTCTACCATGTTGTTGCAACAATGGAATGATAAACAAATTTATTTGATACAATTGTCTTATATGAAATATATCCGGAAAAGGTATCTATAGTCAAAGGACATTGTTGTAATAAAGTTTTTCTTATAAAGTGACGATCGTATGGTGCACAAATGTTCTGATTTAAACGCCATTTCCTTTTCCTTTTGGGGTACTCCGAAAGCAAAGTAAAAAAAACGATCTTACAATTTTATGATCTAATTAAATGAATTTTATTATCTAATTTGTAATTCTATGATCGAATTAATTTGGAATTTTTTGACATAATTAGTGGAATTTATTATCTAATTAAGGAACTAATGTTATGATCTAATGGACTTAACGAAAAAAGTGTTGGAGATATACCGGGTAGGAAAGTACCGATGGTCTATCTGAAGTTACGTGAGAGCGATAAAGTAAGCCATAGAAATCCATGTGATAGACAAGGATGGGTATAGTGAAGGCGTCTAATAGTCACCGCCCATTTCGCCCTTCCACAAATAAGAAGTGGATCTTATTTGTGGAAGGGCGAAACGGGCGGTGACTATGAGACGCCTTCATTATAGCCATCCTTCTCTATCGCATGGATTTCTATGGCTTACTTTATCGCTCTTACGTAACTTCAGATATGTAGACCATCGGTACTTTCCTACCCGGTATAAGTATACCTACTCTGTTAAGATAATTTTTATTATTTAAAGTATTATTAAATTTAAGCGGAAAAACATACAGACAATCTAATTCCATGACAATCTTGAATATACAACAGTGTGGGCCATTAGTATGAGAAAGTAAAATAACTCCCTTGTTATTCATAATACAGAACAAAAGTTTATATAAAAGTTGTACGGAATCAAAAAACCTAGAGAACAAAATTAATTTGAAATACACAGGGCGATGAGTAAAAACGGGACACGCCAAATATAACATTTTTTAAATTGAACACCCTGCATATTTTTTAACATATGGATTTCTGAGAAAATTCTATATATGCCAATATAAATAGTGCGGGGTTGCCAACTTATGTAGAAAATTCTTCGAATTTTGGAAAAAACATAACCTCGAAGAAGTTATATTAACTTTCAACTACTAACACTTCGAGCAAAATTATTTGACAAAGTTATAGGCAAATATTAGGCAAAGACTCCTATATTAGCTAATATGGATATTTTATATAGGGCATTTTTTATGATCATTTTATGAAAGTTCAAACTTGATTTTCTAAAATTTTTCAAATGGAACACCCTGTATTTTATTATTCTATTTTATTCACATATCAGTTCACTTCAACTTTTACTAAGTATGTTCTACACCTAAAGTTGTTAGTTTTTAAGATATAGCAACATTTCTGGAAAAACTTAATTTTTATTATTTTCGGTCGCACCGAAATGGCTTTGGAAAAAACTGTCACATTGTGTCAACTTGGCAGTCCATAATTTATAATTTCATTTTGAGTAAATTTTATTAGTTAATTTTTATTTGTAGTATTCTATAAAATAATAAAAATTAAGTTTTTTCATAAATGTTTTATCTTAAAAACTAACAGTTTTAGATAGATGCTTAATAAAAGTTGTAGTGGACCGATATGTGAATAAAATAGAATAATAAAATACAGGGTGTTCCATTTGAAAAATTTTTAAATTTTTTACTAAAAATGATCGTATTATAAAAAATGCCCTGTATAAAATATCGATATTTGTCTAACATTTGCCTATAACTCTATCGAATATTTTTGTTCCAAGTGTTAGAAGTTGAAAGTTAATACAACTTCTTCGAAGTCATGTTTTTTCCAAAATTCGAGGAATTTTCTTACATAATAATATACAGGGTGTTCCATTTAAAAAATTTAATATTTGGCGTGTCCCGTTTTTACTCATCACCCTGCTTGTATCAAATTAATTTCGTTGTTTAGGATTCTGTATTATGAGTAACAAGGGAGTTATTTTTCTTTCTCACACTAATGGCCCACCCTGTATATTCACATTGTGCAATAAATAAGCCAAAATAATTCAGAAAAAAAAGACAAATTTGCTTCGAATTTCAAAAAAATTTATTGTGTCTTTTTAGGTAGAAAGGCTAAAAATATAAACTTTGTATAATGTCATGCGAATAGAGCTGTACATACATACAGTCCTCAAAATTTATAACAATATTTGGAAAACCTATTATAAACAACATTCTTTTTTAGGTTGCAAATTTTGTAAATATTACAAAAACTTATGCTCAGTATTATCCGTCAAATCATATTTTAATTGCAATGGGTGAAGATTTTTATTATGAAGCTGCCCATAAAAATTTTATTAATATGGACAGATTTATTAAGTAAGTACATTTTTCAAGCCTTTCCTTAGACTTTTCAACTCAGTCATAGTTATAATTAAATTATTGAATGCAAACAGGTTTTTTAAATACTATTTTGGTACCAGTTTAATTCTATAATTTATTTTTGTATCATTTTGGATAATGCATACGTTAATTTGATTCTTTTTGTTTCCTTGTTTTCATCGAAAATCTCGAAATCTGTAACAGATTTTTTTTCCGAAAATAGTAAAGGAGATACTATTTAAAAATGGTAGTAGATATAAAAAATTTTAATATTTTTTATTTTTACAATATTCATCAAATCTCACCTCTTATAAAGGAATAATTCGAGGAAGCGCCATTTTTAAACAGGTATCAATGTTTACTATTAGAGAGAAAAAAATACTTGTCGATAAATTAAAACATTTTCGAGTGCATTTCTATAATTTCATTGTCGCATATTTCGAACAAATTCTACAAAGTGAATGCTTCAGTGTGTTATTATTTAAAAAATGTAAAATTCACAAAAGCCGTTTTGTCAATAAAAATGGAAGTAACTAGTTTTGACATTACTTTAACTGGATAGATCTTTTTGACACGCTCTGTCTACCTTACAATAAATGTTCCAATTTTTTATTGAGTAGATTTAATGCTATATCAAATATGGATTTAATAAAATTTATTGCTTCTAGAGCATTCCAAGGGAATCCGGAGATACATGTGTTATATTCTACTCCGTCTTGCTACATTAAAGCAGTTAATGATGTGAAACCTGAACTAAAGCTTAAAACAGATGATTTCTTTCCTTACAGTGACAAGAAACATTCATTCTGGACGGGATATTTTACTTCTAGACCAAACTCTAAACGGTTTGAAAGAGTAGGACACAATATATTACAAGTAAGTATTAATCAATGCTATAAATTAATTAATTAATCGATTTGGAATTATAGAGCCACCGAAAAGCTAAGCTGAACCATGCTATGCTACGCTAAATTTGAAGTTGATTACAGTATCTATATTTCTGTTTATTTCTTTTTAGATACTTCTACATTTAAGTGATTGAATCTTTGTTTATATTTGTAACTTAACCCTAAAAACCCGCGTATTAGAAAACTTTATGAACTAGAGAAAATAAAGTTAAAAAAGTTATAAGTGGAACACTAAGTATGGTTTGATTTTTACCAAAGGTTATCCAAGTTATGTTGTACTTTTTTCAAAGTTCAGCTTCAGATTCTAGTGAGCATCCCAAGATTCACCTTCACGAGCCCATTTGTTCTGTTATATCCTTACATATTTTACATTAATCAAAACTTTCATTAATATACTGCAATATGGATATGATAGGAAATATTTTTTTAAACATCTCTTATTAACACTCGCATTTTTTACTCTACTTTACTACTATTATGTATTATTTGTTCTTAAAAGTATCCTATATCCATTATTTCTCCATTAATTTAGTTTTTCTATAAAACATTACTTTTCATTTAGAATCTGTAATTTATCGATACAGGGTGTCCCATATAAAACTTTCCACTTGAACATTTCATTTAATATGAAGTTTTGAAAATATTTCAAAAACACGTCGATTTTTAATTCGAGTTGGACATCGACCCTTCGTAGATCGAGGTATCAACTTTGAAATTTCAAATGGCACTACAGGGCGTGTGATACATCGTTTGAAAGCTCTTTCGATACTGACTTTGAATTCGTAAAAAAATAAAAAATCATTATGTGTTTTCAAGAAAAAAGCATTGAAATAAAATTTTTGGAATTTTGAATTTTTGCATTTAAAATTGTTTATAATAGATGCTCAAATTGTGCACCCAGTTGTTCTTGGCAAATATGGAGCCTGTCTACAAAACATCTCCTTACATTTGCAAAAACCTCTTGAGTAAAATTCCGACATTCGTTTACAATCCGTTGTCTTAAATCTTCAAGATTTTCGGGTTGACTTGCAAAAACCACTGATTTGAGATGTCCCCAGAGAAAAAAGTCGTTTGGCCTCATATCGGGAGACCAGCTGATGATTCTATCGTCGCTCAAAATGGGGTGGAGCTCCGTCTTGTTGGAACGTCACAATATTTTCATCCAGCTAATCATCATTCTCCAGAATGTCTGTGATCATGGGATCAACATGATCTTCCAACAAACGTAAATAGCTGGCGCCAGTCAAAATGCCATGTAAAAAAATGAACCAATGGAACGACGACTTAAGGATCCCTGCAGTACCCTCTAACGATCGCACGGATTGGTGTGGATTCATTGTCAGTTCTCCCAAAATTCCTACTTCCATTAATTCGTTAGATGGATTGGTTTTCTTAAGATTTGCTATGGACCCAGTTTCTCGAAATTTCTTAATAATCTGGCTTACGTACGTATGACTTGTTTGGTGATCAGGATATAACTCATTGAAAATTCGAGCAGTTTCTCTAGCACATTCATTTTGTTTTTCATTAAGAAAAATATTATTATTTCAAGTTTTTCAGCTAACTAATAAACCATAATGAAAAATTGATTGAAATTTTAAAAGTTACACTTTGATTATAAACCGAATATGAGATTTGATACAACTGAAAATAGTTTCAACAATAACACATTTGATAAAGTATTATCAAACAAAAACATAAAATGGAATGGAATGCAATGGAATTCATAAAAAATTATGATAAGCACTTCAACCTTCTTTACGTTTCGTTTGTTATTGTTTTTATCATCTGAAGTAGAAACCTTTTTGCAGTTTAATAATTAATGTTTTGATGTTGAAAATCTTTTCAGTGGTTAACACATGCTATAAATTAAAATGAAACAATTTTAAATGTAAAAATACACAAAATTCCAAAAATTTAAATTCAAGTTTTTTTTCTAAAACGACTAATGATTTTTTTATTTTTTTACGGATTCAAAGTCAGTATCAAAAGAGCTTTCAAACGATGTATCACACGTCCTGTAGTGCCATTTGAAATTTCAAAGTTAATACCTTGATCCACGAAGGGGTGGCAACTACAAAATAAATAATAATGTAAGTCGATGTCCCTCTCAAATTAAAAATCGACGTGTTTTTGAAATTTTTTCAAAACTTCTATTAAACGAAATGTTCAGGTTGAAAGTTTTATATGGAACACCCTGTATATTCACATCTGAATCTATTCTACATTTGAAACTACAGGCTGTTACCAATTCGCTTCTCACTACAGGGATCTCGGAAACGGTAAGAGGTACGAAGTAGCTTAAATGGGGCAAAGTTGCGTAATCAGGGGACCAACATTATGCCTCTAAAAAATCAAGGCTAACATAATTAGTTTTCGAAATATTTGAAAATAACCGAAATTTTGAAAATCCGTTTTTGTTTAATTTCAGCCTTATTTGACGTGATACTGAAAAAATAACAACACTTTCTCATGGCCACTATTTGCCTTCTATCGAATGGCATAATCAATTTTTATATGTAACGTTTCGTCTCTCCGGGACCATCATCAACTTCATTTTTTAAATACGACTCTAGAAATTTTATTACATTTTTCGCAAGCCTTCATGACCCCCAATACTGTACTGCCTCAGCCCGAATCAGATTCAGACGTTTTGTCTCGAAAAATTAATCTTCAGTGTATTCGTTCCAAATTTATTTAAATTTTTTATTTAGATTTCTTTGTTTATTGAATTATCGTACGTTGTAAGTGTCGTTAGACGCTGTGAAATCCATCTAGTTATTTAAACTATTACCACCACGCATTAAAATAAAACATTATTAGGGTTTTATTCCCGTGTCCAAAGTTATTTCTAGGCTTCTCGAGTGCTCAAAATTCAATCAAATTTCGATCTATTTTTTTCAGGATATTCATACAAATACATCTGACATGCTCTTTCACAGTTGCAGTTACTGATTAACAAATTCCGATAATATTACATTGATCTTCATTTTAACCTTTGCCAAAACGAAAATGTTTACATTTACAACATTTACTGAAATTTTTTAAATAATACTATTCATATGTATTTTAAGAATTAATTTGTCATAATAAAATTAAAATTGTAATGTTTTAATTTTGACGCAACAACTTATTGAGTTATGTATGACCAAGTGGTGGTAATAGTTAACAATAATAAATATTTTATTGTAACGCGTAGTGGTAATAGTTTAAGTAACTAGATGGATTTCACAGGGTCTAACGATACTTACAATGTACGATAATTCAATAATCAAAGAAATCTAAATCTGGTTAGGGCTGAGGCAGTACAGTATTGGGGGTCATGAAGAATTGCAAAAAATGTAATAAAATTTCCAGGGTCGTATTTAAAAAATTGAAGTTGAAGATGGTCCTAGAGAGACGAAACGTTACATATAAAAATTGATTATGCCATTCGATAGAAGGCAAAAAGTGGCCACGAGAAAGTGTTGTTCTTTTTTCAATATCACCTCAAACAAGGGTGAAATGAAACGGATTTTCAAAATTTCGGTTTTTTCAAATATTTCGAAAACTAATCATGTTAGCCTTGATATTTTAGAGGCATAATGTTAACCTGATTACGCAACTTTGCCGCCATTTAAGCTACTTCGTAGCTCTTAGCGTTTCCGAGATCCCTGTAGTGAGAAGCGAATTTGTAACAGCCTGTATAAAATATTTGCACTTCTGCTATTGAACAAGTATGTTACTTAATCCTAGTAACAGTAAAATGTTACATTTCTCGGAAAAACTGCCTTATTTTGAAAATAATTAAAGAATAATTAAAAAAATATGATTCTAAATTTAAAATTATCTTATGACTTCTTCGTACTTAATATACAGGGTGAGTCAAAATTCACTCCCCAGCGGCCGGATATATATTCTAAAATAAAAAATAAAACAAAAATATAGAATATTAAAATCTCGAAAGCGGAGCCATTTTCGAATAATTATTAATTTTAGTTCAATAAATGCGCAAATTTCGACAGATTAATCAAGTTGGCCGGACAAAAACAAGGAGTTTTCAATGACCACAACCTTCATTATTGGCATTATGAGAATCCTCATGAAAAACGTCAGCGGAATCAGCAAAGACATTGGTCTGTAAATGTTTGGATAGGTATTTTCGGGAAAAGGATCATAGGTCCATATTTTTTGCCAAGAATACTGAATGGTGAAAATTACAGTAATTTTTGCGAGAACATTTTGCCAGATTTGATAGAAGATATTCCTCTACAACAACGTGCAACTATGTGGTTTCAGCATGAAGGTGCGCCCGCACATGCCACATTACAAGTACGACATATTTTGAACCTAATAAATGGATTGGACTGGGTGGACTAACACCATGGCCACCCCGGTCCCCTGACTTGATTCCGATATACTTTTGGTTATGGGGATACATAAAAGAAAAGGTTTATTTTACTGTGCCTGTTGGCAGGATTCATGAAGCAGTAGCGGAAATAAATGAAGGAGTTTTTACCACAGATTGTAGAAGTGTATTTACGAAAATGATAATGGTTTTGAAGGTTAGCCAAAGCCAGAAGGATCTTCGTTTTTGCTATTTCTTATTTTGTATGGATTTAAATGGTGGATTTTAATGGTGTTAATATTAAACAAAAAAATTATAAATTTGAATTTTTCTTTACAAATTTTTCCGAAAACGGCTCCGCTTTCGAGATTTTAGTATTCTACATTTTTGTCTTATTTTTTATTTTAGAATATATATCCGGCCGCTGGGGAGTGAATTTTGACTCACCCTGTATTTTTTAATATACTTGAAACTATAGAAATTAGAAATAATTCAAAGAAACTACTTCCATTCATGCTCCTGTATGCGATAAACATACAAAAAGTAATTCAGGGCTAAAAATACCTAATTTTACAAAAAAAAAAATGTATTTTGCAATTGACTTCTAAACCATCTTTTTTCTACCTTTCCCTTCCATTTCTCTTTCAAGGGATAAAATAAAAGGTAATCCGCCTGAAATAGTTTAAGCAAATTGTGTTTTTTATTAAGGTCCGTATCGTATTTTCCTGAAAATATCCCAAGAAACAAACGAATTTTTTTGGTTAAACTCTGACACTAAAGGCCACTGTATGTGTTTGTAATATAAATTTCGGTTCGCCCGAAAATAGGACAGACTAAACCTTCCTGACGGAAAGTTCATATGCGGATAACAATTTGCGCGTTTTTTATAACTTTTTATTTTTTTACCAACATACAGTGTATCTCAATAAGAACCCACATAATGCTTAAAAATATTTTCGAATAATTGGTGTGAATTATATTTAGGAGGCTTCTATATGTACTTGTTGGACTGATTACGGTGATCTAATTTGTAAACTATGGCACCCGTGACATTTTTTTAATGCGATTTTTCGAAATATCACTTTAGAGAACTTTTTATTAAAAATTTGACTACATGGTATTAACATAGTTAACATTTATTAAAACCTCTTTAAATTAAGTTTCCAAAAAATCCCGCAAATTATCAACTAAATTATCGTTAACTGTATGGCAGACTGCACGTAAAAATAAATATTTTTTTCCACTTACGATTAGAGATAAAATGAGGAAGTAAAATCTGAGATTTTCTAAATTAAACCAGAACTAACTAAATTTTAACCGTGAATTTTTATTTAAATTCAGTAAAATATTTCTTGAACATACCAAAAAAAATTAAAAAAAAAACTAATATAAAATAATACTTTGCTCAGCAAATATCATAATATGATATGTGTGCTCTTTGAAAATAATTTATTTGTCGTTATTCATGCGACTAATCAAACAGTTCATAATTTGCACAATAACGGTTCGTTGGCTATATGTTTGGTATCGAAGAACATTATTTTACTTCATTTAATAAAATTTTTTGAATTTGTTGGAATTAGCTTAATACCTTAAAAAAAAGTAAAAACTTTATTTCATTTCATAAACTTCGCTGCTAATAAGCCTCCTTAATAATTAGTTCAGTCACGTAAAGAACGTAAATTTCAGTTTTTTTTTCAATTGTTATCAGACCGATGACAATTTTTATACTAATAAATTTTTGAAAAGTTAAATTTTGTATTTTAAACATTGCTAACAAATGAAACAAATTTGCAGAACTGACTATTAATATACAGGAGTTTTCGCATGAGCAGGGGTACCTACGTCGGGCAACCCAAAATATGGTGATTTAACGCAACTTACATTTATACTAAGCTGCACCCCTGAGAAGTTATAGGCCTTGAAAGTGGGGTTTCAAATTTCGAAAAAAATCAGTATCTCAGTTATACTTGAACTTAGAAATACCAAATTTGGTACACGGTGTGACTGTACCAAGAGCATTAATCGAAAGTAAGTAGATTTCAATTGAAGCATTTTAAAGGGTTGATAAGGGATGATGCACCATTAAAATGTCACAGAATTTTTGAACCATTGTTAACCATTGGCGGACTTTATTTTTTGGGGAATAAAATTCTAAAACTTTTCTTGCGCTTGTTAATTTTCAAAAAACTTTGTCGTTTTCAACAAAAACACGAGTAACTAATAATACGTATTGTAGCTGTGTTATTTAACATCATCGAAAATTCAAAAGTTGGCTATGAATTAAAACGTCAATCTTGACGATCAGGAAAAAAGTTGGAATAAGAATAATTTAATAGAAAAGCAAGCGACTTAAACAACATAAATAACATACAATTTGCCCTGATAAGTTATAGAAATGATGTTCAAAATGATCACCGTTTTCTCTCAGGCATAAATTTATTCTTCGTGGAAAATTGTCTAGAAGTCTACTCTATTTAATAACTGCAGATTATTTCTAATGAATTTATCCGTAATGCGATTCCACAATTCTGCTCGAGATGCAACTGGCGAGGAATACACAAATTCTTTTAACGTTCCCCAAAGAAAGAAGTCACATTTGTTGAGGTCTGGTGATCGTGGAGTCCAAACTTTACTGATACTCCATTTATTTGGATACTGCTGATTTAAAAAGTCTCTAACAATATTACTAAAATGAGGGGGTGTTCCGTCATTCATAAACCAATGTTCCAGTCCGAGTTGTTGTGGCACTTCGTCAAGAAGATCCCGGACAGTGTTTTAGAGAAATTCTAAATAAGTTTTGCTATTTCATCGATTCGGTAAAATAACTGGACCAATTGATTTCCAAAAAAGTCACGCAGGACTCTTCTTGAAATTCTATCTCAACAAATATCGTATGAACTTTAATTTTATTTATGGTCAAAATCTTCTACCTCACACTTATTATTTATTTTTCATGGTGTGATGCAACATTTGAAGGAAGCGCGTACGCCACTGGATTCTACGCAAAAGACTGCATAAATTCTCTTTCTACAAATAAGAAAGTTCTACGGCATCAAAGTAACCAACCAAAATTGTAATACTTCTTCTATCTCTTGAAGATATTGAAATGGGATTTTCGCCATTTTGTGTCGAAAATTGGTTCCGTGATCTCATAACTCATAATTTTTTTTATACATGGTCGGAAAGTACCAATGGTCCATCTGCCGTTACGTGAGAGCGATAAAGTAAGTCATAGAAATCCGTGCGATAGAGAAAGATGGCTATAATGAAGGCGTCTAATAGTCACCGCCCATTTCGCCCTTCCACAAATAAGATCCACTTCTTATTTGTGGAAGGGCGGTGACTATGAGACGCCTTCATTATAGCCATCCTTCTCTATCGCATGGATTTCTGTCTTACTTTATCGCTCTCACGTAACGGCAGATGTACCATCGGTACTTTCCGAACCTGTATATCTAAATAGGAGAAATCCTTTAAAAGTGTAAATTTTGACCCACCCTGTAGAGCTACTATTAAGGCGACTTCACATTGGGATATTATTATTTACGTTAGAAGAATATTATTTATCAATTTTAAAATGCATAATAAATATAGCTCACAATTTACTGACCATTACTCGCAGAGACTATAAAACTAAATAAAAATTTGTTTCCAGGCTACAAAACAGCTCGTAGCCTTAAATGGATTAGAAGGAAGCGACTATAACAATAATGTAAAGTCTTTGGAAAAATTGCGTGATATTATGGGCATTATGCAACACCACGACGCTATTACCGGTACAGAGAGGCAACTTGTAACTAATGACTATGTCAAACAACTTACACGAGCCATAGAAGAGGCTGAGGCACCTATTGGGAACATAATAGGGTAATTAATAATTACTTAAATAAAGTACTTATGTTACATTAGAAGTCTGAATAAGGTACCACAAGCAAATGCAGGGTGTTCCAATTTAAACTTCCCACCTAGAAAATATCGGAATAAACAAAAAAACCCGAGATACGTCGATTTTCTTTTCAGGAAGGACACGTGATGGCGTAAGTTTTGGTGTTTTGGAAGCTACCGCTTAGGCAGAGGCGTAAAATACCCTTAAACTTTAAATGGCACCCTATGTTGAGTGACCCTCATTTTAAAACTTTTTCAATTCTGCTCACGATGACATAGGACTTTTTAAATTATGGTTTGGATATGACAATAAAATCATCACTTCATAATTTAAAGAATAAGAAAAAATAGCAATGAATGAAAGGATGTTATTTTATTAAGTGTTCAAACTGGTTTCTCTTCGCTTCCATACAATAGTAAAATCTTCTGAACGAACATATTGTTCAACAATTCGTCGACGAAGCTCCTCAAGTGAGTTTGGTCGTGTTGCATAAATTTTCGATTTAAGTATCCCCATAGAAAAAAAAACTAAGGGCCTTAGATCTAGCGATCTAGGAGGCCAATCTATTGAATCTCTGCGTCCTATCCAGTGATTTGGAAAGTGCTGATTAAGAAAATCACGCAGAGCTACGACATAATCATCCGCATATTCGTTTCCAGTAGATTCAGATATATGTATGTTTCCATCCAGATTTCCCGGTAGGAAGAAAGGCCTTATGAAGTGGTCTCCCAGTATGCCCGACCTAACATTCAATTTATTCGGATGCGGCGTATAAGTTTCATGAAACATGCGTAAATTTTCATCACTCCAGTAGCATCAATTATGACGGTTGACTCGACCATTCAGTTAGAACGTACATTCATCGGACAGATCGGAATAGATTGAGTACAGAATATTTAGATTCCTTCGAGCACGATCATTCATTTCTTGACAGAACTGCAAGCGGCGATCAAGATAGTTTTCATTAATTTCTTGTACCAAATTAATTTTGTATGGGTGATTCTTATAAATTTTTAAGATTCGACGGCAACTAAGTACAGGCATTCCTGAAGTACCTGCAAGTTTCCTGAGATCCAAATTTGGTGCCATCGCAATGTGATCCTGGACAGCTATCTGATGACCCTCATTACGTACGACTTGTTCACGTTGATGCTTTCGGTTTGCAACCGATCCAGTTTCCGAAAATTTGTGGACTAAATCCAGGACATACCGATGCGAAATGTTCTTGTCAGGATGACGATCATTAAAAATATGTACTGCCTGCCGTGCACAGTCATTATTCTTGTAGAACAAACTAATTATTTCCACTTTTTAAGCAATAATTGTAGAGACTATCTTCACGAATTGGAATTCAATAGATTTTGTGATGATCTTACGAGATATTGTCTCGACAAGAGAAAACGAGACAATATTGTCTCGTTTAAAGTAAAACAGGTAAAAAAGTTGAACTAATAGTGCATGAAGTTTTTGTATTGACAAATAAACGAAAAATCAAAACAAATTCTTTTATAGAGAAATTGTTGAAGAATGTCGTCAGATAACGCCCGAAATACTTCAATATGTTCGTTCGGAAATAGAGCAAAGATTTTATTATTGTATGAAAGCGAAGAGGGACATTCTTTCTTCTTTCATTCATTGAAATTTTGTCTTATTCTTTAAATGATGATATTATTGACATATCCAAACCAAAATGTAAAAAGTCGTACGTCGTCGTGAGCAGAATTGAAAAAGCTTTAAAATGAGGTGTCACTCAACATAGTGAGTGAGTAATTTAAAAAAAAAATCTGATATATTTCAAGAGGGAAGTTTTAATTGGGACACCTTGTATATGAGCTGTGATACTTTATTAAAGAAGTTCAACGTGATCAACTTTATATGACTATAAAATTTAGTAGTATAATTCAATTCACTCTTTTAAAATTTATCATGTCTATTGGTCTATAAACGGATCGAACGACGCAATCTTCACGACGTGGTTCAGTTCATGATCAAATTGATGAAGAAAATCAGAAGTGTTTTCACTCACGATTAAATATATGTCTAATGCTTTTGGCACATCACCATTTTCATTCCTTTTCGATAATCATCAAAATCATCCAGGTTTAAACCAATTACTTGCTTGTCTCCTTAAAATGATCTACATACGCGACAATCGCATTGCTGTTGATGGTAGATAGTAGCCACATATAGACAGCAGCCATTACCTCTAAACACGACAACTGTTGGTTGCGAATGTTCCCACGTTTTTCTCTACATTTCGGGAACTGATAAAGAATTTTTCGCAAATAAACAAGCAAAGTGAAATACATTTCGATTAGACATCATTCATAAAATGTTAGAAATTACTCAGTTCTTCCAAAATTCAAATGGAGATGTTGGATAAATATCTGGTGGTGGCCGATATGCTTCGGCTAGGTTTTCAAACCGATTACACGAATCCTCTCAGAATGAGAATTCTTCTGGTCGTCAGCGACTGTTCCACGACGCGGTAGTCGTGTGCGTAGACCCTCTTAGGAGTTATAGACTGAGAGCAATATGATCACATAAAAGCTTCCAAAGTATAGTAAATAAAGTTACATTATTTCCACAATTAATGGGTTGGGGAATAAGTAATGTTCGTTTTCTTTATTCAAATTTAAGATATTTTATTTTTAACTATGAAATTATCAACAAGCTAATCAGTGATGTCCATCATTATTTAACACCCCATCTGTAGAGATTCTCCAGTTTTGACGCAAAAGAACGTCATATCGCCGATCAGGTCTTCTTTGTTGAATAGCCGTATGGACTCGCCGTAGTTGTTGGACATAGAATTCTGTACTTACGGTTTGATTCTTTAGTAAGAGCTCGTAATAAAAAATCCCTTTCCAATCCCACCAGACATATAACATTGTCTGTCGAGGATGAAGTTCTAGTCTTGTTCGCGGAGTTGCTTGTTTTTTGGGGCTTAACCATTCTTTCCGCCGTTTCAAAAGTTCACGTACAGACGCAATTTTTCATCACCAGTGACAATACGATGAAGAAAACGTCCCTTATGCAAGTCAGTAGCAATTGTGGAGTGTTGATTCTTATTGTTTTCGTTCAAAACATGTGAGACACAAGCGCTGAGCCTTTGAGTTTTTTCCATCGAATGCAGATGATTTAGTACTGTTTTGTGATCACATATCATCTCCTGAGTCAATTCCCTTGTCGATTGCCTTGGATTTTCGTGCAGGAGTCGATTCAATTGATTTTCATCAAATTCAACTGGACGTCCTGAACAATTCTTGTCTTTAAAGTTGAAATCACCTTCTTTAAAAAAATGATCAAATTAAATCTAATGAAGCAACCAAAAACACAGTTTGTGTCAATTTGACAATGTTTAATTTTCATGTGAATTTTTAAATTTGAAAGAAACAGGCATTACTTATTTCCCAACCTACTATCGTCCTTAGGTAGTGACTACATGTTAAAATATTTTTTCTACTTTTTTTAATGATAATTATGACATTACAGGGAACTCTTGAAGCTCAATCAAAATGAAACCCTCGACTTAAACCTAAATATTTCGTCATGTTTGCTCACAAACGTTAGTATATGCAGCATTTCACAAAGTTCTGAAAACTTTTTAGTAGTTGCTTACAATCCTTTAGCATGGACAATTACCCATTACATCAGATTACCGGTTCCAAATGCTACCTACAAAGTTGAAGGACCAGATGGTAAGTACAACCAAATATTTAAGAAAAAAACTATTGCTATTTTATTGTATTTGGCTTATTTTTCCTCTATTACTATTAATTAGTTTGAATCGCAGGAGAAGAAAACTACGACATTGTAAGTCCAATATCATACTTTAAGACAAATATGAGCAAGCAGTCAAGTGAAAGTGAAATCGTGTTTCCTGCAAAAGATATTCCACCTTTGGGTATAAAAATGTTTTACGTCAGTAAAACTGGTGATGCCTCTAAACATGAAATCTATCCAGCTCTGAGTGAAGATGACAACTTTTTCTTCGGTGATGAAGTAAGTAACCTTTGTACTAGGGGAGTTAATAATTCAGATTTACCGTCAATTAACACGAGACAAATAAAGCGCCGTTTTCCAATAGTTATTAAATTCAAATAATATCAACATTTATCCTATATTTGTAAATAGGTCATGATTTTCAAGTCTTCAGTTTTATTAGGACCGCAATGAATCAATTCTTGTAAAATAATATGAATATTTACAGTATTTTTTACTATTTTAAAAATAATTAATAATAGATATTAGAATTATTAGTAACATGATTCATAATGTATTTTGGATTAAAACAATTTTTTTGTAATTTAACAAGTTTTATGGTACTGTCTCTTAACGTTTGCATTTGTACCTATAAAAAAATATATATATAATTTTTAAAATATTCTGTGTATAAAAAATATTGTAATAAGCTTGTAATATTTTAACAGCGCATTTTACATTAAAATTGAAAAAAAGTACCTATATAGAACTTTAAAGCTGAGATAAAGAAAATAATATTTAAAACAATTTGAGATAAAACAATTAAATTTGGAATTTAATATTACTTTACAAGAAACAACCCGGACTGAGGAGGTCGTGTATAAATATCATTCCAACTTTTTCGTACACTATTTGAACCAAAAATTAGAAAATTTAGACGATTTTTGAATGTTTTGGAGTGAAATTAGTTTTTATTATGTTGCTTAAATTTGACAAATTTTTTTTATACATATTCTTTGTTTTGTAGATTTATTGTAAGGAACAAGTTTTCTAAATATTTAAAATATTTTTCTATAATTTTATTTTCAATAAATTTTCATAATTTCTAAATTATCTAATCTAAATCTAAATCTAAATTTCTAAATAATCCACATACCCGTTTTTCATGACTTTTTATCAGTTTAAATATTTAAACTATACAGGGTGATTCATAAATAGTGACCAAAAATGAAACCTCCTATTCTTTGGCGAATTTTAACGATACAGGGTGTTAAACTTCAAAAAATATTTTTAATTTTTTTAAATAATTTAAAAACTAGTAAGTGAAATAACCCTTGCAGGTCATGAACAGGGGAAAGGAGCCGACTTTTGTGAACCGCATCCGGAAAGATGTGATTGACATTACGTTGGCTTCTCAAAGTATCACAGAAGGTATCTCTGGATGGAGGGTCACAGACTTCATTTCGATGTCCGTTCACAGGATGATCGCTTTCGAGATGAAGTCGGATTCGGAAACGATAACTCTCCGACGAAATCCAAGGGCAACGAACTGGGAGGTATATCTTGGTAACCTAGGAAGCTCCCTAGAAGCGAGCAACCAGGGTGAACGAATAACCTCCACAAGGCAGTTAGATAACGAGGTAGAAACCCTTAGCAGTTGTATCGTCTCGGCATATGAGGAGGCTTGCCCTCTCAGGGCGGCAGGTGGGCGCAAGGTCCGCTGGTGGAATAAGACCCTAGAGGGTCTCCGCCAGACCGCCAGGCGTGTCTTTAACCGAGCTGTCAGGGAAGGGGAAGGGACCTCTTGGGACGATTACAAAACTGCAAGGAGAGAGTTTAAGAAGGAACTTAGGCGTAGCAAGAGATCTGGATGGAAGGCATACTGCAGCGAGCTGGAGTCCCTGCCGGAGACAGCCAGATTAATGAAGATCTTAAGCTGCGACAAAAGGGAGAAATTAGAGTCATTAAAGAGGGAAGATGGGACTTGGACCACTTCCAGCGAGGAGTGTTTAGAACTTCTACTGGAAACTCACTTTGTAGGTAGAGGCCATGTCGTCGAGGGCACCAGAGCGGAGCCGATGCCACAAGCAGATTGGCTCCTGGCCGAGGAGCTCATTGACGACGAGGCAGTAACCTGGGCAGTGAATGAGTTTGAACCCTACAAGGCAGCGGGGTCGGACGGAATTTTCCCGTCGTTGTTGCAGAGGGGCCTGGATATTCTCTTGCCATGTATGGTAAGGGTCTTCCGGGCCAGTCTGGCGATGGGCTACGTCCCACAGGCTTGGGGGTCAGCTAAGGTGGTCTTCATCCCCAAGGCTGGGAAAGAAGACTACACTTCGGCGAAGTCTTTTAGGCCTATTAGTCTCACATTCTTTCTGTTTAAATCGATGGAAAGGATTGTGGACAGGTATCTGGTGGATGGGGCGTTGAGTAGACACCCAATCCACACGAACCAGCACGCATATAGGCGGGGCAGGTCCACAGAGACGGCCTTACATAGTGTCACGCATAAAGTAAATAAGGCCCTTCAGTACAAAGAGGTCGTCCTGGCAATATTCTTTGATATAGAAGGTGCCTTCGACAAGGCAAAATCAGAGACCATATGCAACTCGCTCCAAGACCGGTGCATATCGCCTATCGTGGTCGAATGGGTGAGTTAGGCATTGAAGGAAAGGAAGGTTAGTGCAGCCATGGGAGACTGTCGTAGGGACCTGGGAGTGGGGGGGGGGATGTCCTCAAGGCAGCTGCCTCTCCCCGCTTCTATGGTGCCTAGTGATGGACGGTCTCCTGGAACGCCTAACCTCGGAGGGATACAGTGTTGCCCATGCTTACGCCGATGATGGTGTGGTTCTAGTCGCGGGCCGGTTTTTGGACGTGGTATGCGACAGAATGCAGGGAGCCTGTAGGATCATAGAGAGGTGGTGCGAGGAAATGGGGCTCTCAGTCAACTCAAAGAAGACGTAGATGATCCTATTTACAAGGAGAAGGAAGATAGGTGACTTCAGGGTTCCAACCATGTATGGGAGGCCCCTAACTTTGGTCAGGGAAGTCAAATACTTGGGGGTAGTCCGGGACAACCCTGTCGTGGGGGCCACAGGTTGAGAGGATTATCCGAAAATCAGTGGCAACCCTCTGGCAGTTAAGGAAGGTAGTTGGCAAAAACTGGGGACTCAATCCAAGGGTGCTTCACTGGGTGTACACGGTGGTGGTCAGGCCGAGGTTGTAGTATGGGGCCTTGGTCTGGTGGCCGTGTGTGGACCGGGTGACGGTAGCCAGGAAGCTGGAGAGAATCCAGAGACTTGCCTGCTTAGGTATTACAGGGGCAATGAGGACGACCCCAACGGCCGCACTAATGGTCCTTCTGGGGTTGCCGACCCTGGATTATGAGGGAGGCGATGGCGGCATACCTTAGGATAAGGGGCGCCGGCGGTTGGAGAGCGAAAGGACGCACTGAGGGCCATGCTGCCGTGGCCCTCAGGGCGGAGAGGGACATCCCAATGTCCGCCATGAGGGTTACGGAAGCAGAGGACCGGCTTAGGTTAGGAAGGAAGTATGTCACCACTTTCCCCTCGAGAGAGCAGTAGAAGCAGGATGGTGATATGTTCTCCCCGGGATCCCTAGTGTGCTATACTAATGGATCTCGGGTAGAAGACGAGTTTTCAGGAGCAGGAATTTATCTGGGAGGCAGCGGCATCCAGGAAAGCTTTTCACTGGGTATGTATGCTACAGTCTTCCAGGCCGAGGTTTTTGCTATTTTGATGGTAGCAAGCAAGGAGGAGGTAAGGAATTGTGCAGAGGAGAAGATTGTTATCTGCTCCGACAGTCAGGCCGCGCTTAGAGCGGTTAGCTCTCCGAGGACTAGGTCTGCCCTTGTCCAGGAGTGTGGAGACGCTCTAGAGTCATAGGCCAGACGAAAAGAGAGTTGGTTTGGGTCCCAGGCCATATGGGTATCCCTGGTAACGAGAGGGCGGATCAATTAGCTCGTCTCGGGTCCAGGGGACCTGGACAGGGACCTGAACCAATCTTAGGTATCACACGAGGCAGCATTAACGGGGCCCTAAATAAATGGGCCTATCAAACTTTAGGTCGTAATTGGAGGAAAAATAGAAGATGTAGGCAGGCCCATAGTTTTATACATGGACCTAGCAAATCCAAGACGAGATGGCTGCTGAGCGTTAGTCGAAGAGCCCTAAACCAAATGGTGGGTGTTCTGACAGGCCACTGCAGACTTAGGAGGCATTTAAGCTTAATAGGAATTGAGGAGAACCCTCTATGCCCGAAATGTGGCGAAGGGGAGGACACCCCTGTCCACCTTCTGGGACAGTGTGCAGCCTTTGGGAGAATAAGACATAAAGTCTTTGGTGCTGAAGAGCTGCAAGGGGTTGAGGTGAGAGACCTTCCATGGACCAAAATCCTGTCATTCATCAGGGCGTCGGGTAGGTTCGAGGAGGGTCAGAGGCAGGAGGGTCAGAGGCAGAGAGTGGTTAGGTGATGGGACGGCGGGGTAGGCAAAAAGGGCCCACTTGTGACCTAATTGCCAGGCTGAGGCTGCCCCTTTTTACTACTACTAGGTACAAGTGAAATAATTTGAAATTGGCACATGTATTTATGTAACATTTTCCAAAATCTGAGGGCTTTTCCTAAAATTTACATGCATACAGGGTATCGATGGCATATTTTTCTAAATAAAATAGTATCCCACTGCTTTACGGTAACAACCACAATATTTTCGGGTTCGCCTTTCAATTTTCTGCAAATTACTACTCTCTTATGTTTTTCGAAAAAAAGCCTAATTTTTCGAATAAAACTTAAAAACCAACTGGAAACACTTTTACTTAAATGACATGACAAACACTAATCATTCGAATAAAGAAATTAATAACATTAGTAAGCATTTCAATGATTTTATTTGAGTAAATGCTCAAAAATACATCCATTTGTACGAACACAGGCGCGACATCTTTTTATATGTACTCTAACCAATATGTTTGAATCGGGCAAAGTCCAACAAATCTAGCAGTATCGGTTTGCAACATATGCGGGGATGATTTTTTTTTTCTGAAGGGGTCAAGAACAGTAATATTACACTTTAATATGATGGATATTTTAAAAATCTACTAAACGACATTATCAGAGAACGTTATAAATAAAATAATATAATATTTTATTTTACTTTACCACCACAGAGATAGGCTTTTAATAAAACTAAAATAAAAAATACGTGCGAATTTACCTACACCGACGACCATGCCGTTAAAAGGATTTCAACAGAACTGCCGGTAGTGAGCCAGCAACAAAAATAAATTTATGCCCATAAAACGAGTTAATAAAAGATAGCTATAGTAGGATCATATTCGATGCAAAGTAATAAATCATTGCCTGTCAAGGGAACCAATGAAGTACGGTTTTAAGGGTTTTACAAATTGGATAATTTCTTTATACATTATACAGTTCAGGTCTGGCACCCTTGTTCGTACAAAAATTCCTTTATTCTCATAAACTATTTATTTTAAATGTAATTTATTATAAATCCAATTTGTTTCCTAAATTCCACATATGTACTACATTTTACCTCTGTACGCGCCACTGTTGTTTACTTGTTTTTTGGAAGCGCTCTCTAATTGACGGCAAAGCTCGCCAGGTTAGTATTTGACGTATAACCGACCAGTTCGTACACTCGATGCACCTGGGCGACTACAGCTACTACCAGAACACAGTGCGTATGCAGCGGTATTTCAGATTTTACATTGAATTTCATTTTAAATTTGAAATGATTTATCTTACGCCTCCTAAAAATGATGACATGATTTTCCTTTGATAAAAGACCGACAACTTTTTGCTCTACTTTGCATCGAATACGATCCTACTATAGAACAGACGGGTCACCAGGTTGGCGACGTTGCCACTTATTTAGGAAAAAATCATAAAGTACAATAATAAATGATCAAGTCGAAACATATTTTATTAAAAGAATTTTTGTATATTTGGCATATAAATAACAAACACTCGGGCATAAACAATATGTATTTTATAGTAAAACGCATGTAACATAGATGTAGCAAATTATTTATGCCTACAATATTATTCGTTTAATGCCAAGAACTTACCGTGTGTGTTACTAATACTAATCCTCAGTAGGTATTACAAACATCTTTAAATAATGTTATATTTTAATAGTACCGAATTATTTTAAAAGATAAGGAAATTTAAGAATTTAATGTGACAACAATGTTTCTCGCTTGTAGTGGACTTTGCCCCATTCAAACATATTGGTTAGAATATAGTAACGAAAATGTAATTTGTTCGAAATTTATTGTTGCTTAAATCTGATGAATAGCATTATTTATTCTTTCTTTAACAGCTCACAATGTCAAAGTTGCTATCGCAGCTTACTATGTAGTTTTAAACCGGATTTTATTCCAATATCGAAGTGTATTTTCAGTTCGTTTTTTAAGTTTTACTGGAAAATCAAGCTTTTTTCGAAAAAACATAAAAGAGTAGTAATTTTTAGAAAATTGAAAGGCGAATACGAAGATACCATGAGTGTTACCGTAAAGCAGTGGCTTACTATTTTATTTAGAAAAACATGCCACCGATACCCTATATCTCCGCCACTGGTGCATGTAAATTTTAGGAAAATTCCTCAGATTTTGTACAATGTTTACATAAATACATGTGCCCATGTGTTTTTATAACTGTGTAAATAATTTATTTGGTGGATAATAATAATATCTAATTTCCATAGAATGAAAACAGTTGATTTTTCAATGTACCTCATTGTTTTGAAAATAGTAGAAAAATCCAAAAGTAATTGTGTGATAATAAATTTTCTCATTTTTAATGCTCTCATTTTGGTCAAAATTAAATCGATCCTAGTTCTAGTGTCTTTATCACTGCATTTTTCATTTAAACTAAAGAAGAAAGTAGCTAATTAACGAGAGTTATACTGAATTCTGAAAAAATATTGAAATTTTTTTCTTTATAAGTTTTTGACGATATCTTAAACGATTCTCCTTAAACAACTTTTAAACTATTCTGGCAAACCAGCAGTCAGAATCAATTTTTAAGTGGTCAAAGACGCAGAAACCATTATTAAATAATTTTATTTATGACTTCGATAGTAAAAACTGTTTCAAATATCGCAAACTCTTTGACGGACACTGTACGTTTTATAATTAACTTTGTACAGTTTTATCCTTCCTTCAAAGCCATAGGAGCATTGAAATGAACTGACCGAAGACTATTATTTTCAGGACGTTGGATTCCAAATTGATAACGAAACAAATCTTCTAAAGTCCGTCACAATGAACGGAATATCTGTAGACATCACCCAAAACTTCTACTATTACAAAAGTGAAACTGGACAATTCGATGAATCAAATGCCGCCTCAGGGGCTTACATCTTCCGGCCTACTAAATTATCCCCAGATCCCCTTGTCGGTAAAGTAATCAATGCGGGTATTATAAGGACAACCAATATTGAAGAATTCCACCAAAAATGGAGTGATAACAAGGTGAATGTTTCACAAATCATCAGAGTTTACAAAAGTGAAAAATACATTGAATTCGACTGGCTTGTCGGTGGGATAAACGTGTAAGTATAGTAATATAACTTCTTAGTAATATAACTCTGGCACTACTATTTTAGACTTGATGAGAGAGGTAGAGAAGTAATTAGCAAATACACGGCGCCAGAATTTGAAAATTATAATATATTTTATACCGATTCCAATGGACGGGAAATGATTAGAAGAGAACTGAATATCCGATCAGATTACACGTATAATGCAACAGAGGACCCAGTCGCAAGTAACTACTATCCTGTAACTTCAAGAATACTGATAAAGGATGAAAATAGGGATGTGGAAATAGCCCTTCTCACAGACAGGTCTCAGGGTGGATCCAGTATGGAAAATGGTCAAATAGAATTAATGGTAATATCAATTACACAATTTTAATTATTATAAAGGGTTTAGTCCAGTCATTATAGACATGGAACAGCCTGTTTCGGGAAAAAAATACTATTAGAAGTTTTTCTGCGGAATATTGTTCGGAAATGTGTTATAAATAAAATATCAAAAAATCAACTCGAGACTAGTTGGGAAACTTTATTTAAACAATGGTCAAAGTTATGGAAAAGTGGTTTTTTAACTCGCGTAAAAAAACTATTATTCATAGCGAAAAGAGGTTTATACAAAAAAGGTAGGTATTAAATACACCTTTAAAATGAGACAAGTTCGATTAAATTCCGATAATTTGTTTATGCGCAAGAGCTCAAAAATGGTCGAAATTGTCCGCTTTTTTCAATTGCTAATAATTAGTGCAATTTTCATCGTAGACACTTGTAATTCAGGATTTTTGAGGCTTTTTACACCCTTAATAAGTGATAAAAATTTCAGCCCGAAAGCTTAATTGGTTTGGCGTTGGCGGAATTTGTTATCTAAGAAGATGCTATTTTCAATTCATTTTTCCCAAGCTCACAGGCGTTGTAGAGTTTCGATCATTAGTTGTTTTTGTACCTAAATAGTTGTATTGATATATGCATTTACTGAGAATTTCGTTTTTCAAATTTAATTTGTTTAAAAATGACTGAAAAAATGTTAATATTTATTAAATTGTTAAGATAGGTAATTATTATAAAATAAAATAGGAACGTCTATACTTTAATTTTCTTCGAATTTTTTTAAAAAAATCGTTGTAAGTTGATTAGAAGCTGATAATTTATTTTTTTTTAATTTAATCGCAGTGGCCTTAATTAAGTGCCGAAATTTTTAAAGAGTATACATTAAGAGCTATATTTTCATATCCTACATTAACATTAAGGTGAATTCAACTATTTAATTGCGAAAAAGAAGATAGCGGCGATGCGTTCTATTACTTGGTCTAGCGAACGAGTGGGGAGAGCGAGGCGGAGCATGCGCGCTTAACAATTTAATAAATATTAACATTTTTTCAAAGTCATATTTAAACTAATTAAATTTGAAAAATTAAATTATCAGTAAATGCATATGTCAATACAACTATTTAGGTACAAAAACAACTAATGATTGAAACCCTACAACGCCTGTGAGCTTGGGAAAAATGAATTGAAAATAGCATCTTCTTAAATAATAATAAATTCCGCCAACGCCAAGATAATGAAGCTTTTTGGCTGAAATTTTTACCACTTATTAAGGGTGCAAAAAGCCTCAAACATCCTGAATTACAACTGTCTGCGATGAAAATTGCATTAATTATTAGCAATTGAAAAAAGTGGACATTTTCGACCATTTTTGAGCTCTTGCGCATAAACAAATTATCGGAATTTAATCGGACTTGTTTTACTTTACAGATTTATTTAATACCTACCTTGGGCGCGGCGGTAGCCGAAGCGGCCAAGGCTTGCCTACAGAGGCGAGCCAGGGCTGTGCGGCAAAACCGTAGTGGGTTCGAATCCCGCACGCGGCAGGAAAATTCTTTCGAATTTTCCTGTCGTACCATGGATGTTTGTGATTGTTAAAGTGGAGGGTAGTGTAAGTTAGCAGGCAAAAAGGGCCAAGCATGGCCTAATTGCTGGTAAGCTTCACTATCTAATACCTACCTTTTTTGTATAAACCTTCTTTCTCTATGAATAACAGTTTTTTTACGCGAGTCAAAAAACCACTTTTCCATAATTTTGACCATTGTTTTAACAAAGTTTCCCAACTAGTCTCGAGTTGATTTTTTGATATTTTGTTTATAACACGTTTCGGAACAATATTCCGCAGAGAAACTTCTAATAGTATTTTTTTCCCGAAAAAAAGCAATAATGACTGGCCTAGTTGGCAAATGTGTTGGAACACCTGTGTATAGGGTGAATCATAAGTTTGGTTAACAAATACCTTTAACAAAAGTTTTTGTAGTATTTCAATTTCAATCACATACTTTGATTTCCAACATCTACAATATTTTTAGAAATACGACATTGTCGACAGTTTTTTAAATAGACCTGTTTATTTTTTGATGGAAGCCACCCCTTCTAGGGGGTGGAAAAAAATAAGATATTAAAAGTTTCCCAACTAGTCTCGAGTTGATTTTTTGATATTTTGTTTATAACACGTTTCGGAACAATATTCCGCAGAGAAACTTCTAATAGTATTTTTTTCCCGAAAAAAAGCAATAATGACTGGCCTAGTTGGCAAATGTGTTGGAACACCTGTGTATAGGGTGAATCATAAGTTTGGTTAACAAATACCTTTAACAAAAGTTTTTGTAGTATTTCAATTTCAATCACATACTTTGATTTCCAACATCTACAATATTTTTAGAAATACGACATTGTCGACAGTTTTTTAAATAGACCTGTTTATTTTTTGATGGAAGCCACCCCTTCTAGGGGGTGGAAAAAAATAAGATATTAAAAGTAACCCCCGGAATCGATAAAGCAATAAATTTAAGCAAAAAGTATCTTATGAACGTTTTTCAATAAGTCAATATTTTCTGAGTTATTAGTGATTGAAAATTCATTTCTTTATTAAAAAAGACATTTTTCAGTAGTTTTTCTCAAATTACTCGAAAAAAAAACATCCCAAAGAAAATGAAGCTTATAGAAAAAGAAAAAGATTGACTTTTTTCATTTATGTAGGTGCAATAAGTGCTGAGATACGGCTGGTTGAAGATAATTTCATGTCCGCCAAAAATTAAATTGGAAGCATTAACGTAAAATAATTTTAAAAAATCTACTTTTCAAGAAAAATGCACAGAACATTTTTTAAAATACTTTAAAAAATCTTTAAAATGAGCTTTACTTAAGTCGTTTTATTTTTGAAAATATTAAGTTTTGATTGTAACAAATTTTTTTTAATTCCAAAAAAATAACATATTTTTGAAAATAACTAAAAATAAAAAAGATACGAAAAATATTATCATTTAATGCAATGTTTTTGGTAACATTTTTAAATCACGATCATTATAACACTTAGATACTCTTCAACCCTCAGGCCGAAAAGAACTATTCTTCTTACTCTTCTGCTATAAATAATTCTGATTGTTGAGATCGGTGATTCCAAATGTAACATTATATTTACAAATTTAAGATGGTAGATCCAATATGGTGGCTGAGGTGATTCTATAATACCACAATGTTGGCAACAAATTCGAATACCGTAGACTTTATAACCTCCCATAGCCCTATAGAGTGAAATTCCGAATTATATCAACGAATATGCCAAATTAATAAATTCCAACAAACGGTTTCTTAGAGAGGACCAGAGATATGATTGACTCAAAATGGATTTTGCAGAAGAGTAGTACTTTCAGATGTCATAACGAGTTTTGTGGAGAAAAATCACCTCGTGATGTACTACACTTTTAAATTAGGATATCTCTAAAATATGATGTGATGGAGCAACGGATAGAAAGTCAGTCACATTTTGGATCAATAATTATAGTACTTCCAGTGTAATAATGAACAAGCATCTACTTCCTCAATATGTGATACTTGTGATTACACAAAACTAAATTTATAAAATCAACTCCTCGACTGATTCTTTTGGTGCAGTAGATATTCCAATTAAACCAAAAAAGTGTGTGTTTGTTACATTTCAATTTCTGAAGTGACATGTATAGAATAATTTTATAGACATATCGACATCAAAACGGTTGACAAGTATTGGAGTTGATCAGACTTTGATTATATGTTCTGAGTCTTTCTACTCCAAATAGGAATAGAAAACAAGTTGATAAAACAGATCACCTGTTTTATCTAACCTTGAAATTCAAAGGGTACATAAATACGGATAATAAAATCTAACATGGACTTTGATGATCAAGATGTGATTATTTTGGAAATCGCCATCAAATTCTTGTATTTCCTACTAAAAAATATTTGTTATTAACCCATCTGATCTTCCGCAAACCTTGTAGTGTATAAAAGGTGGATATTTGTTTCAGTTCTATAGTATATAGTTTAAATTACAATTTAAATTTGAATGCTCTTTAATGGAACAGAATCTTATTCATACCATATCGATAGTTTAACTTGTTTTGAATTTATTATATCTTCAGATCCATAGAAGAATTATGCACGATGACCATAAAGGGTTGGTCGAAAGCCTCAATGAGATGGAGTTTGGAAGTGGTGTCTATGTTCGTGGTTCGCATTATCTAATAATTGGCTCTGCTGCAAAGAGTAATCCAGATGGTAATATTTATTTTTCATAATTTTATAGAATAAGTAACATGGTAATTTAAAATTTTCAGAAATTATTGAACGAATAAACCATAAAATGAGTAACCTATAAGTTCTTTATTTTTGGAAAAATCTAGTTGGAGTATCTTAATTATTTTGCAAACTTGCAAAAACATCTATTAGTACGTATAAGAAGAGGAAAGTTTGAAAATTTATTTAGGTTATCGATTTCAAGAGCAGTGTCAGTAGTATAGCTATGTTCATACGGAGCCAAAATCCCATGTATTTTCTTATGGAGGTTCAAATTAGCGAAAATGGTACCTTTCAAGGTCATTCGAGGAGCTGCCTCCCTAGGACCCCACCTTAGGCTTTGCCCCCTAGGGCCCCCATACAGGTATCCCCACGTAGGTTGCCTTCCGAGCGTAGGGCTTCGCCGCACCTAGGACTTTGCCCCCAGGACTTTGCCCCCAGGGGCCCCCACGCAGGTCACCCACGCCGTCCGCGTAGGTCACCCCATGTCGGGGATACGCTGTCGCGAGTACCCCAACGTAGGTATGCCGGAGTTAGTTTCCTGCGAGGAGCTTCGCCCCAGGGCCCCACGCTTCGGTGTTGGAGCGCAGCAAACGCTTATCAGTAGTAGTAGTACTTGGCGTTATCAGTAAGGACACCGATACCACCTTAGTTTCCTAAAGAGCTAGCAAGGAACCACGTTGCGGTCTGCAGCGGATGTAACGTCACAAGATGGCGGCGGTCTGCGTGGAAGGTGATTGGTCGTTAGGGATAAGATGGCGGCGGTCTGCGTGGAAGGTGATTGGTCGTTAGGGATAAGATGGTTGCGGTCTGCGTGGAAGGTGACTGGTCGTTAGGGATAAGATGGCTGCGGTCTGCGTGGAAGGTGATTGGTCCTAAGGTCCCATGTATGTCTTTATCCCACATAGGTAGGCCTAGGGCTTCGCCCTCCCAGTCACGGGTCCCCATATAGGACTCTACACCCCCGCTAGGGCTCTGCCGCCGTCGTCATGGGCCCCATTAAGCGGGTGCCAGAGCAGCAGCGATTTCAATTTTAATTATTTTCCCCCATTTGCAAATTAGTTCAGAACGCGGACGAGCGCTTATCAGTAGATGGCGTAGCAAGTGGATCGCGCGGACATTGTCAATATAACAGGCTAATAACATCATCTAAGAAAAAATATACTCCAAGATAATTACTCAATACTTACTGGAATAATTCTATGCTATTATAAATGTATGAGTTAAATATAAACTAACTAGAGTAGCTACATGTGTTAAATGCTTTGTAACTTCTTAATACCGCCGTACCATGTTAAAGCCCATGTGAGTAGGATGACACTGTATAGTACGCTGCGTAGCTACTCATTATTTTAATTACTTTTATTTTATCAGCAATTAAATGGATATTAGTGAGTCGTTATAAATTCATTAAAATATACTTCAAGATCACCCGGTGGTCTGGTGGCTTCTGTACTCGCACAACTACAAATAATATTAGTGTTATCAAAAACACATTAGTGGAATATTACATTCAAAACCGTCTGACGTTTATCGTTCGAGGGTCACACGGTGTCAACGCGTTAATCTTAAACTCTTTAAGAAGAAATCCTATTAAAAACCATTAAAAGCATTAATCTTAAACTCTTTACGAAGAAATCCTATTAAAAATCATTTAAAGCATTAATATAAACTCTTTACGAAAAAAGACAAAAAAATTATTTCTATAAGAAACTACATTAAAAACTTGGAACTATTCATAAAAATATCATATTATTTCAATTTCAAAATCCCATAAATTTAATTAAAAACTGGAAAAAAATAGCAAAAACTTATATTCGAAAAATAAATCATAAAATCAGATAAAAAAATCATATCGTTTCAATTTAAAACCCCATAAAAATAAATAATGCTAGAAACTTAGAACTTAACAAAAAAAAGACATACTAGAAAATTTAAAAACGGCCTAAAAATCAAAAACTAGAAGTTTTTGATTTTTAATCAAAATAAATCGAAAAAAATCAATCAAAATTTCATATAAAATCCTATTAATTCAACAGAAAATTTATACGTAAAATAATTTATATATATTTATCATAAAATAATTACGGTTTGAGGTAATATCCACATAAAAAACTTACCAACTGAAACAAGGAAACGCCACAGAGCGCAGGGCTATAGGGTGGGGGCGGTTCTTTGATAGCCATAGGGGCCTCAACAACAACAGCAATAATTAGTTGGAAGCCCCAGCAACTCAATTCCACAAAAAATGTTCGCACGCATGCGCACAAACGAAAGCGTTATCTATACATGCCCCTTGAAGGCGACGACCCTTATCTTATTAGGACTGGTATTACAGACGCCAAGGGCTGTACTCTCCCGCATGAAAGCGGTACCTGTCACGCTAACGTGAGGAAGAAAGTCGACCGCCAGCCCACGAGCCCCGCGAGCACCACACCTCCGTACACCTCAACAGATCAGCGAAGAATGAACGATTATAAAAGCTATTAAGCTTAAGATGCGCACCGCTACCACCACCACGTATATCACGTGTTTTCTACATCTCAGCAATAATTAGTTGGAAGCCCCAGCAACTCAATTCCACAAAAAAATGTTCGCACGCATGCACACAAACGAAAGCGTTATCTATACATGCCCCTTGAGGGCGACGACCCTTATCTTATTAGGACTGGTATTACAGACGCCAAGGGCAGTACTCTCCCGCATGAAAGCGGTACCTGTCAGGCTAACGTGAGGAAGAAAGTCTACCGCCAGCCCACGAGCCCCGCGAGCACCACACCTCAACAGATCAGCGAAGAATGAACGATTATAAAAGCTATTAAGCTTAAGATGCGCACCGCTACCACAACCACGTATATCACGTGTTTTCTACATCTTCCGATGGAAGTGACGTCATATGGTCAATTGGCGCTAAATTTAAAATTCAGTTAAGACAAAGGGATAAATATAATAATATACCTTTGGTAAACAAGAAAGTACCGGGCTTAATCACCAAGTCGTCAACTCATGGCGGCATGGAAGTGACGTCATATGGTCAATTGGCGCTAAATTTAAAATTCAATTACGATAAGGGGATAAATATAATAATATACCTTTGGTAAACAAGAAAGTACCGGGCTTAATCTCCAAGTCATCACCTTCATTTTGTAAAGAATTACTTAACAAATTTAATTTATATTCAAATACTTTAATTATTTCTTACGACACCCTACCTTGGGGCACTATTCAATAGATAGTATGTTGTATAATTATTATTATTTGTGGATTTTATTTATTTTTTGGATAGGCTAAAACAAATAAAACAGAAATTATATAGACATTATTTTATTTTTTCCAATTAAATTACAAAATTAGCAGCTACCTAATTATAATGAATTATATAATATTTATCAACTAAAAATCATAACAGTGCTACTTAAGAAATGGAAAACCATTGTGTACGGAACCATCTAATATATTGTATGTGAGGTAAGCATCGTGAAGAATTATATATATTTTTTTATTTTCCAAAAATTAGGTATATTTCTTTACACTATCTTAAATTCATGTCTATGAATTATTTGATATTTTTTATTGGATAGCACCCTAGAACTATTATAGAGAGCATCACGGAAAATGCAGATATGTGCTTGATCTTGTGAAATATTATAGGAATTAAGATAGAGTAGTTAAGATATTCATCTCACTAATAGCTGGTGATCAACTGATATTTTTCCCAGCATTAGAAATGTTGTAAGTCGATAACGGCACCTGTATTTATAGAAAGTACCTCGAAGAGCGGCTTCAATAAAAAATATGTTTAATGTATGCGCAGAACATACTTGTAATTAGTACCTTAGTTTCTTCAAAATCGCAATGTTAGCATAAATCATGATAATAGAGGTCAATGAACTCCAAACAGTATTACGTCATTCTTAGGTCGTCTGGGGTCAAGGTTCAGACCTGTTTTCTACTGGTTCAGACCTGTTTTTAGCATAAACTGTAACCTGATATTTTATTTCCTTTATAATTGCAGTGTTAGCAAAAATTCTAACCTAATATGCAGGCTTGCTAGTAAACCTAGCATGAGCCTCTTTAGCTCAGTGGTAGAGCANTACCAAAGGTATATTATTATATTTATCCCCTTGTCGTAATTGAATTTTAAATTTAGCGCCAATTGACCATATGACGTCACTTCCATGCCGCCATGAGTTGACGACTTGGTGATTAAGCCCGGTACTTTCTTGTTTACCAAAGGTATATTATTATATTTATCCCCTTGTCGTAATTGAATTTTAAATTTAGCGCCAATTGACCATATGACGTCACTTCCATGCCGCCATGAGTTGACGACTTGGTGATTAAGCCCGGTACTTTCTTGTTTACCAAAGGTATATTATTATATTTATCCCCTTGTCGTAATTGAATTTTAAATTTAGCGCCAATTGACCATATGACGTCACTTCCATGCCGCCATGAGTTGACGACTTGGTGATTAAGCCCGGTACTTTCTTGTTTACCAAAGGTATATTATTATATTTATCCCCTTGTCGTAATTGAATTTTAAATTTAGCGCCAATTGACCATATGACGTCACTTCCATGCCGCCATGAGTTGACGACTTGGTGATTAAGCCCGGTACTTTCTTGTTTACCAAAGGTATATTATTATATTTATCCCCTTGTCGTAATTGAATTTTAAATTTAGCGCCAATTGACCATATGACGTCACTTCCATGCCGCCATGAGTTGACGACTTGGTGATTAAGCCCGGTACTTTCTTGTTTACCAAAGGTATATTATTATATTTATCCCCTTGTCGTAATTGAATTTTAAATTTAGCGCCAATTGACCATATGACGTCACTTCCATGCCGCCATGAGTTGACGACTTGGTGATTAAGCCCGGTACTTTCTTGTTTACCAAAGGTATATTATTATATTTATCCCCTTGTCGTAATTGAATTTTAAATTTAGCGCCAATTGACCATATGACGTCACTTCC